TATTATGTTTCTTTAAACTGGCTTTCAGAGTGCATTGCCAATCAAGCCTGTAACAAAGTTGGAGCAAATGAGAGACTGTCTGCGTTCTCTCAAGCAAAATCACACGGTAAAACCATCCATTTTTTTTCTTTTATGCAAAAAGTAACACAGTATTATAGCTCTTTTATTTTTAGAAATTTAGTTTTATATTCATATGTTTGGCCAGACCCATTCATGATTTGAGGTTTCTTTTTGATGGGGACATCAGATTTCGACACGTGTACCATCACCGGAGACGCAGATTGACAGCGACGATTCAGAGCCTCTACTTCTGATTTATATGCATTTTATTTTTATGATTGTATTTTATGTTTTCCTTCCTAGTCCACCCCTGGCAGCATTTTGAGCTCGCTTATGTAAGCTTGAAGGGCATTGTTTTTTTTCTTCTTTCACTTTCGGCTATTTATATGGCATCTGCGCAATTGTATGCATGTTATTGGATTTGAATTGAAAATTTTCTTATGTTCTCTATGTGAGTGCATGAAGATCTCTTAGTGAGTTCTTCCCTTTGAGATCTCTTAGTGAGTTCTCTAAGCAATTGCTAACCCTAGCATTCCTTTTCTTCCATTTACCTCTCTCCCACCCACAAGAGAGTTTTACATAAAATTTTTCATAGCCCTTGCCGCCGGCCTCACTTGGGATTCCCGCCACCGGCCAAGCTCGCAACCACCGACCGCCCACCTTGCCGACGACCCTTCCCACTCGACCAATCTCTCTCTCCACCAAGTTCAAATTTGAAATTTGAAATTTGAAATTCAGATTTTGAAGTATTTCCTCATTTGGAAATCCAAATCAGGAAAGTTTTCATGATTAAATCAATTTTAAATTAATCTAATTTGGAGTTTTTAATTCCCTTTCCATGTCATCAAACCAAGTTGGAAACCCCTTTCCTCTCTCCCCAAATCTCTCTCTCTCCCTAGCCCCCCCCCCCCACTTTATTTTTTGCTCCCATTAAGGAGGAAATTAATTTCTCCTCCCTAATTTGAAATCTTAATTTGATTTCAAATAAATTCTTCCCCATTACACTAAAACTGAAATTGAATTTCAGTTTTATTTCCCTCTCCCTTCCCTCTCTCCACCGCCAGCCTCTTATTGGTTCTCGAATAGAGTTGAGCTTTTGCAGTAGTGTTCAGGCTCGAGCTCATTTATGATAAGTCAGTTCGAGTTTGATTTGAGCTCGAGCAGCTTGTTTATATCTCATCAAGCTGAGCTTAAAAGTTGTGGTTAATTTAATAAGCTGTAAGTTCCGTGACTTCAATTAAGTGCAATTCCCATCAACAAGCATAAATCCAAATCATTCTGCATGGCCCTACCACGACATGAGTTTGTTGCTACAGCACTATATTTTAATAAACAGTCTATTTTTTAGCATCTAAATAACCTGGATCTAAGTATAAAGAGTGGCCTTGGGAGATTCTTTAACAAAATTTTTAAACAGGTGAGAAAATGATGTGGTTATGCGGGAAAATAAGTTCTTTTGAGCTTGTTCACGATCATAAACTATTCAAACAAGCACTTGTTCATTTAATAACCGGGTATTTATACAAGTGCTCAAGTTTATTCAATTAGTTAAACAAATGGTCATAAATGAGTTCTAATCGAGCTGAGCCACCAGTAATTTATTAAATATTTATTTCATTTGCTGCTATAGGCCAAGTCATAACTACTAAGATATATCATACCAACAACGATTTGGCTGACTGGTTTTAGTCATATAGGGATCAGAGACATTCGAAAGTATAGCTTAGTGCACAGAGCTATAAAGCAACTTATTTCAGTTGTTCGCATCTTTAACACTATCAAGACTGCTGTGTATGCTAGACTGAGATTTTTGAAAGGCATGTAATGAAGGGTATATCTAGCTGTACCAGATGATAGAAATCATTTACCGTGTTCTAGACTGATTTATATTACTTTTATGCTGCATAATAACTGGAGCAATGAATCTCTGAGCACCTGGAAAGTGCGTGAATTCTAATTTTACTTGGTCTATCCGGAGCAAACCAACATGCAATGCAATTTGTGATCTTTAACTTTGCTGGCTTTTGTATGTTTTACTCTCATAAACTTATTCTGCTATTAATTTTAAAGTTCATTCCTGTATTTGTTTTAAAAACCTTTTCACTCTGGAGTTTGGAACCAATTGGGACGCATAGAAATAGGATATCCTCTATGCTGTGACAGCATGTGCTCTAATGGGCAAATCTCTGATGGGTTCATTTCCATCATTTTTTGCATGACTTATGCTTGCATGAAATAATGGAAAATATTTTCTGTTGCATGCAAGGAATTACTTAGTATTTCTCACCATAGTGGACATTTTGCATGCAATGAATTATCAAGTGTTATATTCATTTTTCAACAAGGGTCCCAATATTTTAGGGGGGAAGCTCCAATGATTGAGTTGATTGTAATCCTGATTGATCTGATAAAAGAAGCAGAGAACTTCAATTTTTGCTGTGCTTTTTGATGAATTATAGCTAATTACCTTTTACAGTACTTGTTTTTGGGTTTTAAAGACTGCCTTTCCCCTCGTGTTATTCCTATTTCAATGCTTGGCAGGAGGAGGATGCTAAGGTGAAGAGAGCATTCCAAACTCTCCTGACTTATGTAGGCAATGTCGCAAGGAATCCTAATGCGGAAAAATTCAGGAAGATCTGACTAAATAACACAACGTTTCAGGTAACAAAGGGAACTCAATCAACACTAGATTAACAAGTTTAAAATAATTATTGTTCTTACTACTGGAGCCATTATCAATCAAACTATCTTTCTTCTTTCCAACTGTTCTTTAATATGATAGAGTTGGAAGTCTCCATGGCGGTATCGAATTTCTGGAGATTTGTGGGTTTGAAAAGCAGGAAGGTGGCGAGTTCTTGTTTCTTCCTGGAGACAATGTGGACATGGTTGTTCTGAACTTCGCTGGATCCCAGCTAAACTCTGCCATCACAAATTCTTTCTTTGGAATTCTGTAAGCTACATAACTCAACTTGACCTGTTGGTTGAGAGCTTATGCTTCCAACTAAGAGGTCTTGGGTTCGAGTCTTTGTGTATGCGTTGTATGTATGAGTTTGTCTTAAATGACTTAAATGTCCAAAAAAAAAATTTCTGTAAGCTACTTGCAACCAAGAATCTTCACTGTTTTTCTGTTGAAGAGAACAAGCTGAAGTTATATTCACGGATATACTGAAAAAAACATAATTATCAGTAAGTATTTCACATTTCTCGTCTTAAAGCGTTTAATGGTGCTGCTGCTTACAATGTGGAGTTTCAGAAACAAGGGGTTTCTAAGAAAGCCTTGTTACAATTTGGATAAAATGTTTTTTATTTGTGTATCTGAGTAAGAAAAATATCATTGCTGTGCTATACATGTACTTATAATAAATTTATTTTAGTTAATGTGGTGTTAATATAATTAAATAATTGATTAAGATTCAGAGGATTAAGCAAATTAGATTCCTACTTTTAACTCCTAATCTGTATCAAGGAGAATATTATTAACTTTTATCTTTTTAAGCATAGTTTTTTTATTGATTTTTAAAATAACTTTTTAGTAAATTTTTTTATATTAAAAAATTGTTTTATAAAACAGTAAAACAGTTATATGCCAAACAACATCCAATAAGTAGCTTTATTAGGGATAAACTACACGCCTATATTATATTTTCTTTATATGTAGCTTTAATTTTCTCCTTTTTCTATAATAGACAAACAAAAAAATAAACAAACAAACCATCATTGTTGAGGGATAGATTGCATTAGAGGGGAACTTCATGAAGGGGTTCAAATCAGAGATAAGACCTGCGGTGAAGGTCATGAGGCCTCGTGACTTGGGAGAGGCCATGGAGTTGGCACAACTTATGGAAAATCAAAGAATCAAGAGAGGGGAGCCATGAGCGGCAATTGAAGAGGCACTTACAGGACGTTGACCACTCTTTTAGCACCAAAGGGTCTTGCAACAGGAGGATTTCCCAAATTACAATTTTTATTTCCACAATTCTCCCTCTCACTTCAAACTTTTTGAGTTTTGCCACTTTCAGCCACCTTAGTCGCTCAAGGTCTCTTGCTTAAGCGAGAGTATACCAATATCATAACTCATATGAGTGTTCACTTGCTAGAGGTGAGCACATGTTCTATTCTCATCCTTCTCAGTTTGCCTACAATTGACGTGTGAGCAATCAATCTATGAGCACACCGTCTTAATCCTATAAGGTAAAATGCTTGAAGGTAGTTGAGAACAATAAGAGCATTGAATCCTACAACTTGCATTACTCTCACTTTAATTTCATGACAAAATATATTAAGCACATGCTTCTCTCTCCTTGAAATTGACATCATATTTATCTCTAAAACCTCAACCCTCAATTTAAAATAAATAGCTTGCGCACTTGCTTTCATCTCAAACCATGAATCATACAAAAGTAGACATTACACTTTATGTAGTAACAAATATTGATGGAGGAATTGTGAAAGTTATCATGACCATAATTAATAGAATCTCGAAAGAAAATGGGAGCTTCAACCGTTTGGAAATCTTCACTATGATAAAATTGAAAAATTGGTTAAAAATAATAATGCAATTATTACAAGTTATATATGAATAAGAAAAAGAATAAGAATAAAAAGAAATAAAGTAATAACTCAATAAAAAGGAAATTCGAGAGCTTGACCAAGAAAGTTGGGAAATAATCATGATTTCAAAAATTGGATTGGACCACTTGAATGAACTGAGAACTGGCGGATCGATCTGCTTTTAGAACCTATTTCGCAGAACCGAACCGGCATTTTGATTGTTGAACTAGCAAACTGTTTTCTAAAAGATTAGCCAGTTTATTTGCTATCTCATTTATATAATTAAATAAATTTAATATACAATTTTTAACTAATAAATTAATTTACATTGAATATATTTAATTTTAAAATTACCATTTAATTTTTATAAGTCATTTATCAAATAAACTCCAATTAAATTTTTTTATATGACCCACTGGCCACTATGCTATATGACTTCTTCACTCATGTGAACAAAACATTATATAAATAATATTACTACGTAGTTTCCAAGTAATATGAGGCTAAATAACCAAGATGAAGTTATCAAATTCACAACACATACACTATATATTTTAACACATATTTTTAAATAAATTTTAATAATGTAAATAATAGTTACTTAGATAGTTAATTTTATTTAATTTTTATATATCTAATTTTTTATTTATTTAATTGAATAACATGAAAAACTAAAATTTAATATATTTTTATTATAAATAAACTAACATAAATTTATAGAAGCAATTTGTACATGAATTTATATAAGAATATTATATTATTTATAATATATATATATATATATATATATATCATATCTAAGCATACAACATAAATTAACAATCATTTATATTAAATATATAAACTTATATGTGAACTAATGTTGTGTTAAATAATAAAGTAAATTAAAATTATGAATGATTTACTTGGTATGAATTTTATTTTATTTTTTAAGTCATAAATTACATCATTACATAATTATTATTTCATCATTACATAATTAATTATGTTGCCCAATTGACATCGCATGACTGTCATCGCGTAGCTGCTATCTCACAACACTAATGTTTACTACTACTCGACGATAGCCTCATAATCGCTATAGCCCACCATCAAACAACATTGACGACAGAGTTTAAAAGCCTAGAATGATACCTTTGCCACCCCTTTGCTATTTCTCCAATACTTACCACTATACTCACAATAGGTTGAGCCAACAAATCCTATTTTGTAATACCATCGTTTCTAATTAGAGAAGAGCATACTTTTATAACCTTCACATATAGATTGGATTATCTTAACTAGCCCTTTTCACATAAAACTCTGTGTTTCATATGAGCTTCTCTTATTTATGCATGTGTAGATCTTTGTGCGCACTAAAACGGAGAATTTTCACTGTAATAAATATTCTATCATGCAACAAATATATAATTATAACTAAAAAATTTGTTTAAAAGAAGTAGATTTTATAGAAGAAAGCTTATATTTTATTGAAGCTAATCCATTACATTACATTATAGAATTTGAAGCATACAATTTCTTAATGACTTTCTCAATTATAGCAAATCAACTTCCCCACTTCTTGAGATCTAAGTGATGTAGTTATTTTTAGGAGCTAGTGTAAGATTGTTTCCCAAGAAATGCTTCTTATTCAAATAAATATTTATGTTTGGTTTTAAGATTTTTTTTCCAAATTAATTAATGTATTATTAGTGAATCTATTTAATACAATACCATCTTACTTCTCTATTTCAAAGAACAAGTTTATTGATATTTATTAAAGCTATCCGATTGCAAAAAAGCTTCTATGTGACTATTTTATTAGCCTTATTAATTAATGTTTATTTAATTAGTATCAAATAGTTGGTTACTAAATCCATTTTTTTTAATTGCTTGCTCATTTAAACTTGTTAAATTATTGATTAATATAAAAACATAAAAAAAATTGCAAGAAATACATTTGATCCAAATATGAGGTGTCACTAGAAAATAGTATCAGATTTTTTGCTCAGATGGATCTTGTATTAATATGATTTAGTTAATAACAGCTCGGATAGAGCTTGAATTGAGTTCGGTGTAGACCGAATCATGCTAGTTCAAGATTCCATCAAAATTTACATGCATGCAAGTCTAAATGCATCTATAGCCTTATGCTATATTTGTACCAATGCATGTATGCATTTAAACTTATACATTACTATCTATCTAAAACATATATTAATGCATTTTTGTGTATGGAAGAAAACAAATTTCGCTTAAAAGATTTAGTAAAAAAGGATTATTATTTTCTACTCATATTGGGCTCAGCTTGAATAATAAGCAAGCAAGTCATGCCGAACTCAAATCGATATTAGATTTAGCATGTCTATATCTAGGCATGACTTCCATCAAAATTGTCACAAATGGCTCTAAATCACCACTTAAACCACGATCAAATTCACATCTAGAACAAGTTGTTAACAACATTACCCTTAATAAGCATTCCTAACATCATCAAAAAGAGTTGATATGGGGTTAAAAAAGTTAAAATAACTATTATTCTAACTAGGCACAAGTACAAAAATTTGTCCACAATAATGATATTTAAATAACAAAGAAACGATTATGCAGCGTTGATAAAATGCAAAATTAGCCAATCTAATTTAGCTCCACAACTTTGTAAGAAAAAAATACCTTTATGACATCTGCCTTAGCCAATGCTGGGACATGATAAGAAACAGAAAAGGCGTTGCAAAATCCAATAGACCCTAGAAATTCGACCTCACTTGTAGTTCCAATAACAAGCATATTCTTTCCCTGTAAAAAAAATTAACAAAAAAAATTTTCCTTTATCCTTAATATAAAATAGTGAAGGCATCAAAGTTCAATATGCAACAATAAAATTATATATGCATGATAACTCTAGATGGCTAGTATAATTTCATTCTTTTCTATTTGTTTTCTTAGACATTGTATTGGATGAATTTAGATTATTATTTTGGAACAATTTTTTTTGCAAATAGGCTATTTTATTATTAAAAAGGAAGGTTTGCTGACTTTTTTATCCTCTTTTAATCTTGAACACGCAGTTCCACTCATAAAGAATTTTAGCGGAGCAGAGCTAGAAGGTATTGTCAAAAAGGCAGTTTCATTTGCCTTGAATAGGCAATTAAGCAAGGATGATCGCATTAAAGCACTGCATGAAGAAAATATAAAAGTTACTATGAATGACCTTTTGAATAGTTTCATGAAATTATCCATTCATTTGGTGCTTCCACTGATGATCTTCAACCATGCAGGTATCACTATTTTTGTAACATTTTTTACTTTTAGATGGAAAATTATATTATGCTCAATGAACTATTATTTTGTTCATGATAGTTTTTCTTTTAAAAAGTCATGCCTTGCCTTATGTGAAATATATAAGAGCTTTCTGAGTATAAGTTAGCTTACATGGATTTGATAACATATCGTATATATTAGTATATGCATGTGCGTATCTCATGTACGAGTATACAGTTCATAAGTTTCACCAAATTCCATTAAAAGTAAGACTTACTAGGAATGAGTAAACCTATTTCAATATATTAAGAAGTCATGTATACACCAATCTTTGGTTTCACTCATCTACAATATCATAGCAAATTAGGGTAGAACTTTGTTTGTAAGGTACATAAATTGGTTGTCCGAATTCTATGTAATGCACTTATATGCATGGTCTTTGAGATGATGGGCTGCTTCATATATATTATACGCCTATATTATATTTTCTTTATACGTAGCCTTAATTTTTTCCAGTTTTTAGATGTTTTGTGTAAGCCTTTTACTTATATGAAGTCCAAAAAATTTTGAAAAATATATTTTTTTGATTATTTGTTAAGATTTTTTTTAAAGTGGTGCATTTTTGTGTAGCACATGAAAGCACCTCCATTTACAATATTGTCATGTGTAACTCTCTAATAGTAAGATATATATTTTATGTTCTTAATGATCAGCACTAATCTATGAATTGAAACATGTTACAGATTTAATGGAATGATTGACTGTGGCGAAAGACATAAGCACGTATATGAAAGAACCATGCTTCTTGTAAAGAAAGTTAAAGAGAACAAACGTGGCCAGCTATTTTCTTGTCTCTTGGAGGGCCCTCAGGGAAGGTATAAGCGTCCTAATTTGCAATGATAGTTCTTTGTTGAATTTTTTTCCTAAAATTTTATACTTTGACAGTGGTAAGACAACAATAGCAGCAATAATTGGTATTGATAGTAATTTTTCATATGTCAAAATTGTAAGTTTATTTTGATGTATAACACCTTAGAAGTTTTCTATATTATCAGCCAACTAATTTTATCACAGGTCTCTGCTACATCAATGAGAGGTCTAAGCGAGAGTGGTAAATGTGCAGAAATTGTTAAAGTTTATTTACTTTCAACGTTATGAAGTTAGAAATCAGTTTAAAAGCTTGTTAATTTTCTAATCCTAGTATTATTTCTTAAGTGGATGAGTGGCTTCACTCCTATCATTAACCATTTAAAATCTTGAATTTAAAAAACTTGGCAAACAACTTGAGCAGAAATAATAATAGGAGTGAAGACACTCATCCACTTAAGAAATAATACTAATATTAGAAAACTAACCAGCTCTTAAACTGATTTCTAACTTCATAACGTTGAAAGTAAACAAACCTTAACAATTTCTACAAATTTACCACTCTCGCTTAGACCTCTCATCGACGTAGCTGAGACATGTGATAAAATTAGTTGGCTGATAATCTAGAAAACTTCTAAGGTGTTATACAGCAAAATAAACTTACAATTTTGACATATGAAAAATCACTATCAATACCAATGATTGCTGCTATTGTTATCTTACCACTGTCAAAGTATAAAGTTTTAGAGAAAAAATTTCATCAAATATGATGACATGTAAGTCACTTTGATCACCTGAATGCAAATCAAATGAGAAGAAACAATTATATAATAGACAATATCATTGCCATCGAATTCATCTATAGTATTAAAATGTTAGTCCTTTACCTCGTGCCCTTTGTTCCTGTTCTGCATGGACAAATAAATCTCTCACATTTTTCTCTGTTTGTCCACTGTATTTGTTCAATACTTCAGGTCCACTAACAATCTAAACATTTAAAAATAGACATGATTTATTATTAACATTATATCAACCTACATATAAAACATAATAAAAAGCTTAAACTCTGGACTCCCAACAAAACTAAAGGAACGAGTAGCATTAAGTGAATAGAGCATTAACAATAAGTAGAAGGCTAGAAGCTAAAGGCATTAAAGGAAAATTGATGAAACTACTGACCATAGATAAATTTAGCTTCTTTAGCCTGCATGAACTATAAAACCAAGCACTAATGAAGAAAAAACAACACCTTAATACTAATTTGGTACTCGAACTAGGATTCATTTTCCTTGCACAATTAGATTGATCAAATTAAGAAGAAAAAACTATGATGTTGAAGCTGTAGCGACAAAACTTCACAAGTACTCTATATATATATATATATATACTACTTAATTGTTCAGTTAAGGCATACCTTTGGTTCCCTTCCACTAAGCAATTTTCCAATATGTCGAGCCATAAGTGTTTTTCCAGTACCCGGAGGCCCATAAAGCAACATGCCCTTCACATGCTTGATGCCCAATCTGTCATGTAAAACAATAAGAAAGAGTGAGTGACTTTCAAAATACACATGAGAATACCAAGATTATGCATTCAAGTGGCTGCATTTGAATCACAGACTTATTTATAACATGGGGAGGGAAAAGACGAGAAGCAAATGCTCTGCGAAAGATTTGAGCAAATTCTTCACCAAGTCCTCCTATTCCAAACTTCTGGAGATTAAAGCCTGTCTGCCATAAAATACTACTTACAGCTTCACGTTGATTAATGATCTGCATGAGAATCCATAAAGGAAGCTGTGTTAAATATAATTGCAACAAATTGTCATTTTCTAAGAAATTGTATAAATAGCCAAAATATGCTAAGAAAAATAATAAGAAAATATCATAAAAAAGTATAAGAAATTGCATAAATAGCCAAAATGGTCCATGAACTATTTAGAGGGGATTGTCTTACTCTCAAATATATGTCCAAACTAGTTTCCAGACTCATCAAATCTAATATAAAATAAACTTTTAGATAGACTATTTTGGATCATGTTTGAGGAATCGAGGGTTTAAATTGAACACATTTATAGTTTGTGATAAAGATGACCCAAAATAAATATTCTATGGACAATTTTTACATTTTTCTCAAATTGAACAAATAAGTCATAGAGAGAAATACAAATATAAAACCTTTATCAGTGAGCTTGAGGCAACTACAAATACTATATATGTGTCATTGGTAGCTATCCCTCTTTCAATAGCATCTGATGTTTCTTGTTCCTCTACCCAAGCTTGGTTAACAGAAAAGATGTACTCGGTTCCTAGAAATTTAAATAATACACTTTGTCCAGTTGTCATAACCTGCATTCCACAATTGCTTCAATTTGTAAAGCAGTAAGAAATAAAACCTCATCTTTATAATAAAATCAAAAGAAAACATACTTGATAATAGCATATCCCTGAAGTATGAAAAATTATTTATATGTTCTTTAGTTTTACGTTAACTCATACTTTTATCAAAATGTTTACATTTCAAATGTTGAAGCTGAGATAATTTTTTATAATAATAATTTGACATATTATGATGCAAAATGGCATTAAAAGTTGAAGAAATAAGAGAGTGATATTAGAAACAAGTATAACAATTTTAGTCTTAAGAGCTTGATATTCTAGAATATCAGATCTTGAAAATGAAAATGAGAAGTTCAATGAGGTAAACGTCGAGGTAAAGTGCTACAAAATGAGTGTAAACAAGGGAGCATAGATGGACGAAGTTGGAAGTAGATTGTAGCAAAGATCAATCTTTTTAAAAGCATTAAGTTCTCCCAAACAGTACAATTGTTCATTCCAAAAGTGTTATGGGTCATCTTAGGTGATTGCTCAAGAAAAATGTGTCAAAGAATAAAGAGTTGTCTCTGCTGATTTCTAATATGATGATTATTTTTTAAAAGTATGATGAGTTAATCATAACATTCATAGGGAAAATTTATGAATTTAAAAATTTCTTTGTATTCTAAGTTCAAAATTTTTGTTAGACGGATTATTTCAAAAAAAAAAAATACTAACCTAATTACTAAATTTCAGGACTTATATATATATATATATATATATGAACATAATAGAAAGGAATAAGATTGCCTATCCTGATTACTAAACTTCTTATGAAGATGTTGTGCAAGAGCCATAGCACCTATCCCCGCGTTTCGAAACGAACGCATTAGATGAAACAGTCAGATCTAACATGCCGTGGATCCAACGATCAGGATCAAACCTGCGGGATTGATCCCTACCAGAACGATTCATCGGTCAAGATCGATCGCGCAGTCTGAGCGGACCGGCTGGTTCTAGCCGGACAAAGATCTGGTTAAACCGCGGTTTCGAGTGCCTGAACTGGATTATAATACAATAAGATCATGACCGTTCAATCCAAATATAATGGATCGAACAGTCACGGGCTCGTCTTCAACCTTCAGCCACCCGAAACCCTAGAAACATCTTTTTTATTTTTGTTTTCACAAAATACTCAACCAAGCAGTTTAAAACTTTGAACAAAGTTTTATTAGAGTCTAAGGAGTAGTGGGGAGGTGTTTTTAAACCATTTGATGCACTATTTAGAATCCTGAATAAGAACCTAGATAAATACCTAGGGTTTAGATTTTACCGCAATATAATCAACGGATTTGGATGATTTAAGCACGGTTGAATATTTGGATTGTCCCCGTGTTGTTCTCCAGAAGACTCTGATTTCAGATGAAGCTTCTAGCGCGAGCTCCAACAAATGGGACGATCCAAGCTTCGGTTTAGCCTTGATCTTGCCGTTAGCAGCAACCAAACATCGGGAGGGGATCAGGAGAGTAGAAAGAGAGTTGTAGGATTTCAAAACGAAAAGCCCGTAGCTCTCGAGAGTGTATGGAATGAGAGATCGCTTCGAATCAATGAGTCCCTCCCCTATCACCCTATTCAGCGTTTGCAGCCAAAACGGATGGCTGGGATTGATCAGAGATTTTTCTGGGATGCTTGACACCTGGACTGGACGGTTAGAATGCAGCTGGAAGGACTGTACAAGAGGTGAGTGGGCATGGGTGTAAATTTTTTTATCCTTTTTAAAATATATTATATGAAAATATATACCGTTTGGATTAATAAAGCGAAAATCAACAAATATGATTTCCTTATTTATATTCAAGGCATAGCTTAAGGAACCCCGTCAAATTAGTGTGTAAATTGGCAACAAATGAAGGAATTTTCTTTGGATGAATTTTGTTAAAATTAATTTTAATATTTTTTTTAAATTTCAAAATTAAAGATTTTAATATTAAAGCTCATTAGGATAACATAAAAATTAGACACCTTTACACTCCGTCGCCCTACAAATAGTGAGAACGAGCCCTCAACAAAGTCATTTTGTTACAGTAAATAAGCAGAGGACCTGAATTGCATCTCAACACGGATTTTTATTTGGTTCAATTGACCGGATGCTTCTCTGCATCCAGTCGGAGGACATAATAATTGTTCTCTCAACAGCCAATAATACCTGAAAGTTGAGTTGCTGGAAGTCGGCCATCTCTTTGATCAATATATAGAGCTTTTTCTTACCTCCATACACTACAAAAAATGCTCCAAATCTATCAACAATCTTCAAAAATAGAATTTACTAAAAATTCTCGAGGTCACCATAAGGTCAGCCTGTTGTTATTGTAGCTTTTTTTAGTTCTACAGATAGATGGGTAGGTTCTAAGCATAGGAGTTGGCCTTCTATGCTTTTTTTGTGATATCTTTTTTATTATTTTGTGAAGCAAATTTATAGTGCAAAATATCAAATTTAAAAAAAAAAAATTAAAAATTACTTCTTAAAATAGTAAGAAAACTATCCCAAATAAAACCTTAGATTTTGTTTGGTGCATAACTTTTTTGCTGCTTTCTAAAATAGCTTTCTAATCTAAAAAAAAAAATTGTACTAAAAAACTATTTTAAAAAACATTAAAAAAGCTATCACAAACAAAATCTTAAAATGATAAAAGCTAAAAATATTCTCCTTGATACAGATTAGCAGTTAAAAGCAGGAATCCAATTTGCTTAATCCTCTGAATCTTACAGTGCAAAATACAGATTAGCAAAAATAAATTTAGTATAAGTACATGTATAGCACATCAATGAATATTTTTCTTCTTCAGATACGCAAATAAAAAACATTTTATCCAAATTGTAGCAAGGATTTCTTAAAAACCCCTTCTTTCTGAAACTCCACATTGTAAGAAGCAGCACCATTAAATGCTTTATGACGAGAAATGCGAAATACTTGCTGATAATTACGTTTTTTTTTCAGTATGTCCGCGAATACAACTTCAGCTTGTTCTCTTCAACAGTAAAACAGTAAAGATTCTTCGTTGCAAGTAGCTTACAGAATTCCAAAGAAAGGATTTGTGATGGCAGAGTTCAGCTCGGATCCGGCGGAGTTCAGAACAACCATGTCCGCTTTGTCTCTAGGAAGAAACAAGAACTCGCCACCTTCCTGCTTTTCAAACCCACATAGCTCAAGAAACTCGATACCGCCATGGAGACTTCCAACTCTATCCTATTAAAGAACAGTTGGAAAGAAGAAAGATTGATTGATAATGGCTCCAGCAGTAAGAACAATAATTATTTTAAACTTGTTAATCTAGTGTTGAATGAGTTCCCTTTGTTACCTGAAACGTTGCGTTATTTAATCGGATCTTCCTGAATTTTTCCTCATTAGGATTCCTTGCAACATTGCCTACGTAAGTCAGGAGTGTTTGGAATGCTCTCTTCACCTTAGCATCCTCCTCCTGCCAAGCGTTGAAATAAGAATAACAAGAGGGAAAAGGCAGTCTTTAAAACCAAAAAACAAGTACTGTAAAAGGTAATTAGCTATAATTCATCAAAAAGCACAGAAAAAATTGAAGTTCTCTGCTTCTTTTAGCAGATCAATCAGGATTACAATCAACTTAATCATTGGAGCTTCCCACTAAAATATTGGGACCCTTGTTGAAAAATGAATCAGGCACTCGATAATTTATTGCATGCAAAATGTCTACAATGGAGAAATACTAAGTAACTCATTGCATACAAATACAGGAATGCACTTTAAAATTTTCCCGCATATAGTCCCATGAACAAGCACAAAAGAACATATTTTCCCGCATAACCCCATCATTTTCTCACCTATTTAAAAGATTTGTTAAAGAACTTCCCAATGGCACACTTTATACTTAGATCCAGTTTATTTAGATGCAACAAAATAGACTGTTTATATATTATAAAATATAGTGATGTAGCAAGAAACTCATGTCGGGTGGTAGGACCATGTAGAATGATTTGGATTTATGCTTGTTGATGGAAGTTGCACATAATGGAAGTCACAGAACTTACAGCCTATTAAATTAACCACACCTTTTAAGCTCGGCTTGATGAGGTAAAAACAAACTGCTCGAGCTCAAATCAAACTCAAACCGACTTACCATAAGTGAGCTCGAGCTTGAACACTATTGCAAAAGCTGAACTCTATTCGAGATGAGCTCAAAAAGCTTCTTGCTAAATGAGCTCAAGCTTGAAAAACTTTTTGATCGGCAAGAGCTATTAAAGTACAATACTAGATGGAAAAACAATTTATACTCTGCATTCAATGCATTAAAAATGCAAGAGCAATTATCTGTGTAGCGTGCACAGCAGTCTTTAAGAGTCAAAGATAAGAACAATGAAAACAACTGAAGTTGCTTTATGTCGATGTGCACTAAGCCATACTTTGGAATGCATCTATGCTCTATATAACTAAAACCAATGTGTCAAATCACTTATGGTAGATATATCTCAGTAGTTATTATATAAGACTGACTGTTGGCTTAAGCTGCAAAGGAACCAAACGCTCGTTAAGATACTCCAGACTCGATTCAATTAGAGCTCGTCATTTGATTACCTAATCGAATAAGTTTGAACATTTTAAAATTTCTTGGTTGTTAATAAACAAGCTTGAGCAGAAACTTGTTTGATACATTTATGATCGTGAACAAATTCATTTTAAAGCTCATGAATAAGCTCAATAGAATACTTCTTATGCTATTTTGCCCTTTTCCAGAGTTCTACAGATGGTACGCTCAAAAATAGGAAACAAGGTCGAGAGCAGAGCAGCCTGTAAAGAAACTTCAAATCATGAATGGCTCGGGCCAAATATATGAATATCAAACTAAATTTCTAAAAAAAAAAAGAGCTATAATACTGTTACTTTCTGTATAAAAGAAAAAAATGGATGGTTTTACTTTGTGATTTTGCTTGAGAGAACGCAGACAGTCTCTCATTTGCTCCAACTTTGTTACAGGCTTGATCGGCAATACACTCTGAAAGCCAGTTTAAAGAAACATAATAAATCCCTGTTTCATAGTTTGGAAATTCTTAGAGGCTTTAAATAAGGGATGAATCTATGTAACACCTTCTTCTCTTCCGCAGCGGGTATGGTAGTAGGTTTTGTGGCCGCAGGATCTTCCGGTGGTAATCCAAGCTTCCTCCTCCTTTCAGCCTGCAGGCAATATCAATTTCAAACCAAATGCTTATACATTCCAAACTTGGAAGATCGAAAAATAATATCATGAGCTGAGAAATTTATTTCCTCAAGTCTTTCCTACACAGTAAATACTCCACAGGTTGTGCGTGACTATTAAAATTATTACTTTGGTTGTTCATCCAAACCAAAAGATAATACTCAAACTAAGATAAAGATATAATGCTAGAAAGAAGCATGCCTTAATAATCTTTCAAACTTGATCCGCTTCAAGAACAAAACAACTCATCTAAAATGAAAAGAAAAACCAGAAACATGCAATGGTAAAATATGGTTTATTTGTACACAAACTGATACATAAAATAACAATGCTGCGCATCATTGCCAAGGGGCATAGCAACTACTTCAAAAATACTAGTTACCGAGTAGAAATAAAGAAGAAAAATTGTTCAGGGGAGGTTCTGTGCCTTCTGGAGCCAGAAGGATTGTTTCCTAAGTATAGGTGAGCCACAGCATTTCCTAAACAAACGGACAATGACAATCCGATTATGGAAAGAATTCGAGGAAGTTCTACTAGGAAGACATTTACACATCACCTACTTGTTTAGATTGTGCTAAGAAATACGAAAGGGTAGGTTTAGGAAGATGTAGGGGGGAAAAAGGAATAAACTCCGCATACACAATTTAAAGTGATTTATGTACACAACGAGAATCTAAAGAGTACTCAATTAGCCTTGCAAATAATTTACATTCATCGAACCATCAATGTTAAAACAATAATCATTCTCCAATTACAAGCCATTAATCCCTATTTATGGAAACTGGATCACAAAAATAACAAAAAAAAATTTAATTCACATCACATCTAATCTAATTTAACCTTGAAATGGACTCCAAAAATTCACAGCTTGGCCAAGTTGAGAGAGTTTGGGTATTTTTCTGAGTCAAATTTTTAGAAACCAAATTAGATTGAAGATAATTAACTAACTAGAAATTTCAAATTCATTTTGAGGACTTTATGATTTGGTTCCAAGTTTTTCATAGACACAATCCCCTATGATTAATCTCTCCTAATAAAAAGACAAAATTTTTAAGGGCAATCGTTAAATAGCACCAACTGATTAATTTAAGGTTGAGAGTTACCATTTTGTGCTAAAAACAAATGGTGGGGCAGGTGGGGGAATGATACAAACTTGAGATCTTATAGTTTGATCATCCCGAGTTATCATGATCCATAATCTATTTAGTCAAAAGAGGTAGTTGACATAGCATGACCGAATGATCATTATCAACAATCAAGGATTGCTTCATCCAAAGTAACCTCGTAGTCTTGAGGTTTATGATTTATTACTTAAGAATTTTTGGTAATTGGGTAACTTACGGGTTTTGATTATGACCACATTTAATGATGTCAATGTCATATTATGACAAAACCACCTGGTAGGAGGGCCTCAATCATAAAAAAATTTACTTGTGGTGTCATTCAGTGCTAATTCAATCATTTAGATAACATGTGACACGTCCTTACTAGTGAGATTGTTTGAGAATAAATCATAGTGAAATGCTCGATGACATTTGCTCTTTTTGAACTGAGGTTGCCTTAAGTTTATTAGCCTTGACAATCGATCATTGAAGATGGATAATTTTTTGCTTTAAATTTTAGGGGATAAATTTCACTTGAAATATTTGAATTTGCATGAGTTTTCTTGATGACAATATCGTTGCTAGATCTTAAGCCCTGATGAAAAATGTTGATGATGAGGACATTAGGCCTTGGAGAGTTTACCAGAGGCGGGGCTGACGATCTACGGCTAGGATCGCACCGATCTACTTTTGATAATTATTGTATTGGATTTTTATTTTATTATGTTCCATGAGTTTATTGTACTTGTCCGTTTATGCCCTCACTTAAGGGCCTAGTCATGTGTATGCCTTAGAGGCAAGTGAGTCTTTTGTATTTTCTTTATTGTTTGAGCTATTTAAAGCCCTCCCCTCCTTTGAGGGTCAATGAACATTATTATGAAAGAAATTCAACTTTTATGTCTTGTCTCCATTGTTGTGAGAGAGAGCTTTGGTGAGGACCAAGCCCACCCCTCCATAATTGTCGGCCAAATCCCCTCCATAATTGTCGGCCTAATCCCCTCCATAATTGTCGGCCAAGCCCACCCCTCCCCTTCTCCACCTCTAGGCCAAATCCCTTCCCCCAACAACATTGGCCTGCCACCCCACCCTCCACCACCCAACCGCCAGCCATAAGGCCCCCACTCCACCTCCAAACTGCCGGCCACCAAGTCAAGCCTTTTCCACCATCCTAACTTCTTTACTTTCCTAAAATAACATTATTTATTTGGGAGGATACTGAATTCAAATAATTTTGAATTTCAAATTCTTTCCTAAATGACATAATCCATCTTAGAAAACCACCCAATCTATTCAAATCTAAAATTAATTCAGATTTAACTTAATTCCCACATTCATCGAACCTGGATACTCTCTTCCCCCTCCCTCTTTGGCCGGGCCCCCTTTCCCTCTCTCACCTAATTAATGAGCCCCTTAATGTCACCCCAATTAAACCTTAATTCCTCCAATCAAATCCCCAATCAAGCCCTTGCATAGGCCGGCCCCTCCTTCTCTCCAATCTACTCAATTTCTCCCAAATTAACTCTCCCATTAATACCCTAATCCCCCTCAAGTCCAGACGCCCCTCCCTCTCTTCTATCTACTTCAATTGCTGCATTAAACCCTCAAATTCCTTTTCCCCTTAGTTCCTCTCAGCCCGAGCCGCCCTTCCCCAAGCCTCCTCTTCACGATTTTATTCCTTTTCTGAATTTTCTGATTGTTGTCCTAGAATTATAACAAAATAAAAAAAAACTTGCTGTCCTGCACCTCCGAGGGCCATTCTTGGCTTCCCAAGATCTCTCAGCCGCCGTACAATTGTTGTTCAGATTTCTTGTCACATATAGGCTTGCTGTCCTTGACTTTTCAGCAAGGAGTTTTGCTGTCCAACCCTCCAGAATGTCACCGTTTGCTGTCCAGACTTTTCTGGACATTATTGGATTGCTGTCCAGAAAATTACAGCAAGAGAAGTTGCTGTCCAGCTCTCTGGAAATCCACTAACTGCTGTCCCAAAGTTCCAAACTCTGATGAAAGGTAAACCTCTTCTCCAAATCTTTTCCTTTCTAAGTTTTACCTTACTTGTGGTTTTAATTGATTCACTATGATCGTGTTAAGCCTCTCTGCTAAGCCTAGTAATTTAAAAGATAGTGAAAGACTTTTTATAGTGAATAATCTCATTGTTAGCATAGGGATTCCTTGTTGGAAAATTTTCATGTATGTTATGTTTTGAATTATTGGTTATTTTGAGATCCTAACCCCTAATCGTGTGACTTGGTCTAAGCTTGTCTCATCCTTCTTGTTTTATTTCATCGTTTAATCAAGACAAGTATTTTAGTTAATAAAGCTTTCTAAATCAAATTGTGCAAGGTTCTTTCCTAACATTGCTTAAACATTTTAGTCCTGCATTAGTTGAGGGCTGCGTTACATAGTCAATAACCAACGTAAAATTTGTTGAATAATCATGATATGAACCTTTTAATATATTGTGTATAAGTTTTCTTGATATTCTGGCATTTTACTTGAACTTAAGCCCAAACATAATTTGTATGAGGATCTGATGACAATTTTAAAAATCCACTTTGGTTGATATTTACTTTCAATATGACCATTATCAAAGTTCTTAAATATTTTATTTGTTTTACTTGAGCCTCGTCAACTTTGGCCACTTACTAATAGAGAATTGGGTTCAAGTATTGACTTTGCGAGCGACCATGTGAGTAGCAAACTTGAGAGTTTACAATTTTTTCATGTAGTGAACCTTCTTTTTAAATGACATTGAAAGCCTAATCCGAATGGACCGAATGTAAAATCAAGTATTGTCGCAAGTATTATTGTACTTCATTTAACATTTACTATCCAGAGATCTTTCATGACGGTCAAATTTTATCAGCTCCAGTCCTTGCAAGGAGGAAGATATGCTAATAAGGAGAGTTGATATAATCAAAGCAAATCTATGAAGAAAAATGAGTAGACCAAAGATAACACGACTAATCTTGTGCAAAAAATACATAAAATAGACTAAACACCTAATATAACTAAACATGATTGAATGATGAAGGATTCACAAAATAGGCCCCAAATAGTTGGAAGAAGTTTATGATTACAATGATATTTCAAAAACACTATAAGGATTTGTCATAGATAGAATAAAGAGAATCTAGAGATTTACAATTTGCTTATAATAGGAGAACAGAAAACATAGAGAGAGAACGAGAAAAAGATAGAGAAGGAAAATGCAACAACATTTAAGTCTCTAATGGGGTATAGAAAACCACTTCTACCCTCAATGAACAAACGTGATCTATTTGCAAGATACACTATTCATGGGTTCTAAAGATTCTGCTCTTTTTGTTTTTGGATAATGCCACTGGCCATTTCTGTTTGAGCAGAAACACAATTTTTCAACTTGTTAGATTAACTTTAACAAGGTTACACTTATGTCTAAATACACAAAAAAATAAATAAATAAATAAATAAAGCAAAGGTAGCAATAAGATCTCACTATAATAAGATAAAAATGTCCTCAAGACTCAAAAAAATTCTCTCATAATGTAACAATATATTTGCAAAAATTAAAATGCTTGGGTGCTAAAAACGTCAGCCACCCTTTAAAATGGCGATGAATTCAGACAACTCTTGCATAATCACGTGGGGTAAGGGATTGTATATAGAACCTTATCCTCCTCCAAACGTTGGCGTATCTTCTCCCTTGCTCTTTTCTCCTCTTCCTTCTCAGCCTTTCGCAATTCTATTATTCTGTAAAATAAAGGGAAGAGCAGTTGCATAAAAAGAACCAGAAAATTGTTAATTGGGATTCAGTCAGAAACAAAATCATATAAGTTGCAATTTGGTAAAACAGTAAAAAAACCTTTTTCTTTCGTTGTCTTCCTCCATTCGCTTAGCAGCTAGAAGCTCTTTACCCACACGTATTCTCTCCTACAGCACCCACACAGAAGTAGGTCAAAAGATAAAGGAAATTGTATTTCAGTTAATCATATTGTCAAAGTCATCAATTTGACCAAGGAGCACAGGTTTATTTAAATAAAAGCAAATGTCACAGCTAACCTGATGCACTACAATAGATATATAGCTATGACATTAACACAAGAAAACTGAATTATAGCTGAAGCTAAATTGACGTCCAAATGGTTAATAAGAGACCTCGGTAATTTTCAAAATTTAAGATGGAACTTCGACACGTTAAATAGATTAGCATGGATTTAAGTTAGTAAGTGATGAGGAAGGCTTCTATAAGAATCAATCTCAACGCATGTTTACAAACAGATCTCTTTGAATGGTAAGGATTTGCTATAAATTTGCTTTAATTATGGTGAAATAGCTAGCATCAGTAAAGAATAAAAAATAGCATTTCCTCCTGGATCGCCTGAAAGAATTTTAATTCTGAAATAACAAGAGAAATCAAAACATATACAATAAAAAGATATGCAATATAATATGAGTGAAAACCGAAAAAACAAAGTTCTGGGATCATCTTAGCAGCCAAAACTGAATAAAATAACATTAAATCTGTCTAGATAAAGAGAACCGAAGATATTAGACAGACAAATCCAGAAATTGATGTAAAATGTTGAAGGTTCCAAAATAATTTCACTCATATCGCAGCCAAAGGAGCTTCTTACTAAATATAAGATTTCATTCTCAAATATCATGCAAGATCATTGATCCAGAACCTCCATATGTATTAGCCTATTAGGTATTCCATCTTCATCTTATTATTGAGGGCATCGATGACCTGATTTTAAGAAACTTTCTAATTATAACGGTAGTATTTCAAGCATTGAAGCTCAGGTGGCTAGGAGTTTTCAAGTTTTGTTCGCCAGTCGAGACAGCAATAGGAAAACAAAATTGGTCACTCCCCAAGGTTCACCAAACCACAAGAAAGGCATTATAAATAAGAATTTTTTTATGATCTCCTCTTTTAGCATAATGATACTTTCTCCTATATTATATTATCGTAAATTTTACTATTTTTTAGTTTTTATTTTTATTTTATAATCCATTGTAATTATTTCATGTCTTAATCATCACATTGTCTGGATAAAAGAGTTTGCTTTAAAAAAAAAAAAAAAAAAGAGGTTCTAATAAGCCATGTAAGTAGCACCATTGACCCGGAACCACTTTATAATACTTGGGTGGAAATTTTCGGAGCCCATATTATCGAGAAGTACATTCTCATTATGAGCCAACTTGAGGGATGCATGATTTAGAAACTTAATCAGACTATATAAGAACAAGTTTTAACATTTCATAATAGCAATATGGCATAATGTCATATGAAATGCAAGTTACAATCAAATTAAAAAAAAGAAGTGAGGTTACTACAAAATCTAATTATTTTCATTTAGCTACCTATTAAAAATACATACATGGTTTAGTTTCTAAAGATTATCTTTGGTAGATGATGTAAACGTGCTTATAAAGTTTTGGAATTGAATATCTAATTTCCTCAAGTTTAAAGATGCCATAAACATATTATGCAACAAAAAAACTGAATAACGATCCCACTGAAATCGTCAATAAGATACCTTCTCCCTTTCCCTTTCCATCTTTCTCTCCTCTTCATCCTTCTTCTTACGGGCTCGTTCTCTGCAATAAAAATAACAAATAAACGAAGAAAAGGAACTTACTGCAACATTTAAAAAGTAAATACAACATCAAAAAGATAATAACTCTAACAATAAAGATTCATTTGCTCAACAAAATCAAAAGGGTAACCCATTAACTTCTCTTAACATAATAAACTGATATAAGCATCGGAAGGATATAGCAAGACATACACAGAAAATAGAAAACTTCTTTAGGGTTTCTAAATCCAAGCACACAAACATAAGTATTGTTTAAAATTGCACAATATGAGTCTCGTCTTGAGGCCCGCCTTTGCCCAATTCCAGTGAAAAATGCCTCGAGTTTTACGCCTCGCCTCGAGCTTTTTTTTAAGATGCTTGCTCCTCAACTTGGCTAAGGCCTAACTTGAGATGTGCCTCACCTTGCTAGTGTGAGGTGTATGCCTCACCCTATTTATATTTTATTAAAACTTACCTAAATCCTAAATTAAAACCGCAAACAAATCACAACTTCATGCACCCTCGAGCCACAACATCATCCTCTCGACTGTCTTGACCTCCAACCCGCCGCCTTCGCCGCAGCAACCACTATCTCCGCAGCAACCACTATCTCAGCCTCCGCCAAGGTAGAGGCTAATTTGTTATGACGATGTCTTATATAAAGACCCTCTCAGTGATGTCAGTGCTGATGATTTATGAGTTGTTACCAACAATTTCAGCTTTCTTTAAGAATTAAATGTGGATGAGGAGGGAATTGAGAAAGAGTGAATTTTGAGTTAAACTTGATGTTATATGATACTTTTATGAAATTTCTATATTTTATATTGTTTTGCTCTTAGAACATTTGAATTTCAATTCCATTTCACGCAATTTATCACTTACCACTTTACGTCTTGTGCAATTTTTTGTTTCAAATATATGTCAATTGATTACTTCATAATTCAATCAAAAGTCAATATGACATCTTTTAATATATTTTTTGGGTTTTATATTAAAAATAACTTTTAACCTTTATTTTTTACTTTATGCATTTTTTTTTAATTTTGAGACTTACGCCTAGCCTCACAAACGAAAAATGCCTCGATACCCAACTGCGCAATTTTAAACCTTGAACTTATGTAAGAACTTTGGTGACATATAAAAGAAAATTGACAAAAATAAGATAAGAAAATATGGTGCCAAAAAAAATTAACTGAAAAATGAACAATATATTTATTGAGCAGCTTAAACTAATTTGCCTATATTTTGGCATAAATAGGGAAATAAATGAAAATATATTTTCTTATTGGATTTAAGCATAAAGGGAATTATACAGTTACCTATTAGTATTACACAACAACATCATCTCGAGATCAACGATCGATACTATCTTGACATCAATGCCAAATGCCATTACACAACAACAATGCATGATTGATAGGAGCATTGTCGTCTCCCTTCTCGATGCTTAAAACGACAACAATGTCCTACTCTAAATGTCCTAATATTAATCATTTTAAGCACAAATCCTAATTAAATTACTTATTATTTCTTAATTATTCTTAATATTTTGTTTATTCAAATTTTATACATTATTTTTAATATATAAAAATTATAATAATTCAACCCATATTCGTGTCCTATATTTTCAACAAGTGATGTATCCCATGTCATTTCCATGTCGCCATATTCGTGTTTGTGCATCATAGTTTATTTTCCTTACCCGAGCAAATCAACGCGTCATTAGGAGAGTTTATAAATAATTACTCTGATGATTGTAATAAAATAAATTTGATTCAATAAAATTCTAGATTACTTCTTTCAATCTTGTGTGTTCGTTGGATATTGAATTCCTTCAATGCAAGTGCAATAAAAAACCTCTAGGGGAAATTATTTCCTTGTACCAACACTAGTTTTGTTCTTCATTTCAATTTTGATCAAATTTGCTACAATTCAATTGCTCTTTAATTATTTATGATTTAATTTTTTTTGAATCAATCGATCATCACATTATCATCTGGTTTTGATCTTATGCATTTTAAGTTTAAGTTTAAAAAAAAGAAGTTATTTTTTTTTATAATAATTAGTCATCTATAATTTATGAATTACAATATATTTGTATGATTTACATTCAGTTCATCATTTTAGTTGCATTAGGTGCCCAATAACCTTCATTTTAAAATGCTTTGTATCAAATAGTCGAGAATGAAAAGAGCTCATAATATAATAATGAATGAACCAAATAAGCTCGCATTAGTGGAAACACTACTGCAGCTACTCGCATCAAATTTTTGAAGCTGCTATTATGGGCATGTTGTTCAAAGGTGAAACAGGTAGTAGACTGAATGATCCCAATTAAGATGAAACCGATCAAATTAATTACATAGCAGACTTATGCCAACCAAGCATCAACATTCAAAAATGCAAATCTAGCTTCCAAATAATAAAAAATAACAATACTAAAGCTATTGCAGCCAGCCTTAAAAAACATACCTTAACTCTTCTGCTTTCACCTTAAGTTCCTCTGAGGTCAAAGATTTCTTGCTGGTTCCTTCAGAGCTATTAATGGAAACCTGAGAGTTTTCAAGAAAATTAGACGCTACAACATGAGTTTATGCAAAAATACCAAGAACCAGTAGGAGAATACATAGGTGAACACAACACAAAAATATCTTAATCGTAATATTAAAACAATAACCAAATTGATAAAAGTAGATGTCATCCGATCACAACATGAGGCGTGATGACATTAATAAATAAACATCTACAATGTATCTCAGCATATTTAAACTACAAGTCCCAATAGATAACTCCTAGTGATAATGAAAATCGGTTAGCCTATTATGTTGCATGACCTAAGGCGTATTACCATAATATTTGGGATGACAATTCATGGAAATATCGAAGTATCGGACAATCAACATTTGCAAAGCTGTAAAGGAGAAGATCAAACAAAAAAAAACCCTCAGAAGTGAGGCAAATCAAAAGGAAAGGGATAACTCAGCACAACCTTTGATCGCAAAATTGAGGAAAAGAATGCCCGATATCGCAAAAGGAATCGATAACAAAGATAATTACTGACCAAACCTGACCCTAGAAAATTTGAGCTTGCTTTGAGTTAGGATAATATCAGGAACAGAATAGTTCATTGAGTGCATGTTATGTGGGCTAAATTCACGGTAGGTGCTGGAAGATTGAGATTAAAAAAGAAAAAAAGGAGATTCAGCGAACTTATAAGATGTGTCAACTTTATCACAGCTCAATCCAACCCGGTCTACCATAATTTTTTTTTCTTTTTTTATTAAACAATCATAAAAACAAGCAATAAGAGAACAACAAAATCATCAACTTTAAACACGGCCATAGCACTTCAAAGTGACCTGAAATTTCTCATTTCTCTTGATGGAGAAAACTGATTCAAATATCCTGCTTCAGAACTTGATTTTCCAACAACTTATCATTCAAGAATAAAAGTAGATTCAAAAGCCTGCATTTAGACTTTTCGTTATACATGATTCATCTTTCCAAACTAATTAGTAATCTTTAGCCACTCCTAGCAACATATTTATGGAAGCCAAACTATGCAAAGATTAATGAAGCTCCACCGCAAAAACTATTGATAGCTGCATCTTTGATCTAAAAGGATTGAATCAATAAAAACACAGCAAATAAATGAATAATAAAATTCTGCTCCTCACAGTCAATATTCAACAAATTTTTTAAAGCATTGGCAGTACAAAAGCTTGCCATTCTTACGGAACTAATAATACTCTTCCTGAAAAAGTTTAGTTAAGAAAGTGATTAACATTCTGAGCAAGTTATAAAAGCTCGGAGATAACATCACAGCAGTTGTACAGCTTTCTACTCCACAAAATTATAAATAGGTGAAAACAAGGACAGGGTCATTGCTCACATGCAGTGGAATTGCCAAAATATGGACATGCCAACAGGATCAAACGTGCATCGAAGATAAAGTCAACATGATGTAGTCTAATAAACTTACTGCAGAACTGGAATATTATTAATGTGCCATCAAAATAATCAATAAAAACAAAGCAAAAGCTACACTTCCAAAAGGAAAAAGCAATATACCAAAGGCATCTCATCAACATCTGGGTCATCTTCATGGTCAGCAACCCAATTAATTGCAGCCTCAATGCTACTATTACCTGAAAGCATCAATCAAAATATTATGAATTGGATTGGTAAATCAATAAACAATTGTTTTTATAAAAAGCCCCTATGTTTGGATCCTTGATGGTCAATAATAACATTGCCGAGTATTGCAGTGAGGCAATGGGGGAGGTTAATGATGTAACGAAAGCGCCAATGTTAGGATCCTCGATTCGAATTGAACATTTCGAGCCGCTCTAACACTCCCAAGATATATAAAAAAAAAGAAACAAAAAAAAGAGAACTTGATTAATAAAGGAGGAAACTCATTTGTTATTCTTTTTATAATCATTCTCCCTGAATAGGATATTTATAAAATACAAAGCCATCTTAAGCTAATTATTCTAACTAATCAACCAATTATTAACTATAAAGATCCTTTAAAATTCTCATTAGATTCACAGAAAAAAAACTATTCAGTATGATCTCGGATATGAAAAATTCTAGAAATGAAAATGCATAACGTGTTTTAATAAATATAAGTACATGCATAAATACAAATACCCACCCAATTTAACTCCCACAAGGATATAAGGCAAGGCACATCATAGATAGGTATTATTGATTTTGCAATGCAACTCCTAGATTTTTTATTGTGTTAATGACCTTTGCTTTAAATTAATAGATAAGTATGGTTCTAGGAGATTGGAGAACACATCAATTATGTTCTGAATTGCCAAATTCTGGATCTGCATCTTTTTTCTTTAAATCTGGATGCATACCTACTTACGAAACAGCTAAACTAAAATAAACAAAATGGGTTCAAAGTCTAGGCCTAAGACACAACAAACTTCAATGGATCAATTAGAGCGGTTAAATCTTTTATTGGCTGTCATCCCATACATTGGCGTCCCCTGCAATTCACAATCCAAAAGCTAAAACGACCCCAAAGTATAGTTAATTTAACCAAGTAGTCTAAGGCTAAGAAGATAGAAACACGTTAAGGAAAGCATTATCATAACAATCATCCTTCCAAACATGCATCTTATTTTGTTTTTATCAAAAAATACATACATTTTCAAATTATATTATAAGAAATAAGCCATTGCAACTACTTCAAGTAGATCATTATTGTGGCATTGGTTAGATAAATTCTTTTAGACACCATGAAGCGAACTTCACAACTTTCCCAATTATCAAGATTTTTAAAAACTGATCATTTAATTGGGCAACTCAAATGATGATGTGAGCCCACAATCAGGTGTCTTATAGCATTTAGACAGAAGCACATGAACCTACCGTTATGAAGCCAAGTGCAAAAAAAATTTCATTATTTTCAAAATGCATTGAGTTATTATATGAACATCACTAAAGCACAGAAACAAGGAAAAAAAAACTTCAGCAACTATTAAAGATTATTTTTTGCATCTCTACTCTGAATTAATATATGATTACCATCAACTTCAAAATGTTAAGTCTTTCACGCCATATTGCTCTTAAAACTAAAAAATAAAACTCAAAAACAATATTTTTAACTGAGAAAAAAAAGAATTGTACTAAAAAGTATTGCCAAGGAAATATGCATCTAAATACACCCAAGGAGTGAAGTGCTGACAAAAAATCCAATGATTGGAATAACTACATATTTGAACAAATAGAGCAAAACAAGCTTATTGCTTGTCATGAAACAAATTAAAGAATTAATGGTATCAATGCTCTCAATCAAGGAAATAACAAAATCACTTGGCAAAAAAAAAATGTTGGTAAATGATGTGTGATAATAATGAGAAATTAATGATAGCTCAATCAATAAAAAGAGAGCTTTAGTAATAGCTCAATAAATAAGGGGAAATTGAAAAGATTTGCATTTTTAACAAGCTCACCAGAATAATGAAGTGCTCTTGTAGCTCGGGCAGTGGGAAATCCCATTGATTCGAGTTCCTCAAGCAGTTTCTTATCCACCTCTGGGATAATCATCTCTAAGATAATGAATAAAACTCAGTAACTATCATAATTGGCAAAAACTCATACGACAGTATCAGCATAGGATCCAGAGTATAGTAAGCATGACAACATAAATAAATAAATAAAAATCAGACAATTCCTGAATAGTACACTGCTAAAGCATGGAACTGTTATTGCACTCTAATAGTATAAGGACAGCATAATATCCATGCCAACACAACGATTATACAATTGACCTCATATCATATACTTTCTAGTTGATGATAAGTTTAAAAAATTAGGACAACTAGAACATTTATTGCTACTCGGATGATCTTCAGAACAGAAACCGAGCATCATTTTTTCATAGAAATATGAACAATTTCATATTTGAAATTACTAGAGACCATAATAGTCCGCTAAAGAGCCCACAGAAAACATGCAGGGTAGATCCATGATTAGAAGACAAGTTGAATATATTTTATTAAAAAATTAGAAGCATATCCACTTTCTATGTTAAAAAAAAGGATAAGCTTTACTGCTTCACAAAACATGTAGAACCAAATCCTGCAAGTTCAAGTATGTGGCCTATTTTGTCATGGTTCTGGAAAAAAGGGAGTAAGCTGTAAGCCCAACTTTGAAATGTTTTAATGGATCTCATCCTATGAGCGCTTTAGAAAAGATGAACAGTGTTTTAAGATTTGACATATATCTGAGAAATCATTTCGATGATGCTTAAGATGACAAATATATCTAATAAGGCATAACCTAACCTTCGTCTACATAGCACACTTCTTTTTTCCCATCATCAATATATTACATGGCCCTAGCACATCATATATAAAATGATTAACAATTAAGAGTTTTACAAAATAATAATGATAATAAACGAGACAATAGCTAAACACAATCTCCCTTATCTTTCATATTATGTGTATGACTGTTTACGAAGACCCACATCCTCCCCCGAGCGTCTTCGATACTTATGAGAACATGCAAGTATTTTTATTTGAGGTAATTTTTTTAAATTAAATCAAGGTTTATTTAATTCTAGACTTGAGACTTCCAAGAGTCATAAGCCCTCCATGTTAATTACTCCTTATGCTCACAGAAGAATACATGATTAAGAAGGCTACTTAAACTTGAATTTTATGCTCGCGTTTGGTAGTTCTATGTAATTTAACTAACATCATAATATATTAATTCCCTCGATGTTAATTACCCTCATAATATATTAGATGGCCCTAGTAAATTATATACAAAATGATTTAAAACTAAGTATTTTATAAGGAAAATTTAATAGATACAATAGCTAAACATATTCTCTCTTATCTTTCTAATAATGTGTATAAAACCACCTCCTCCCTCGAATCTCCTCAATATGTAAGAGAACATAGGAGCACTTCTCTTTGAGATAGATAGGTTTGTTTTAACCAAAATTTCCAAGATATTAAACAAAGGTTTATTTAATTCTAGATTCGAGACTTACTAGGGGAATAAGTCCTCAATGTTAATTACTTCTTCTGCTCACAAAACAAGGCTTGGTTAATAAGGCTACTTAAACTTAAATTATAGGCTCACATTTGGAAGTTATATGTGAATTTAACTACCCCCATAATATACTAATTCCCTCAATGTTAATTAGCCTTGTAATATATTAGATGGACCTAGTACATCATATATTAAATGATTTACAGTTATGAGTTTTAAAATAAAAATTTAATAGAGACAATAGATAAACACATTCTCCATTGTCTTTCTTATTATGTGTATGATCAATTAGGAAATACCACATCCTCCCTTAATCCTTCTCGAAATGTAAGAAAGCGTGAGAGTACTTCTCTTTGAGATAGATTAGATTTTGTTCAACCAAGTTTTCCCTAATATTAAATCGAAGTTTACTTAATTCTAGACTCGAGACTTCTTAAGGGCATAAGCCCTCTATTTTTTATTTTTTAAAAGAAATTCAAAAGTGATAAATAAGCCCTCAATGTTACTCAACCTCCCCCCCCCCCCCTCAACCCAAAAAAAAAAAAGATGAAACCAAAAAGATTGTGCATTTCAAAATAAAGGTGTTCGATTTACTAGTCTACTTTACTTGACACAATTACAAAATTAAGCCTTTTCCTCTAATGATAACTTTTGACCAAATCATACAACCACAACCCAAAACAATAGCCTGCAACAACAAAATGAAATCAGAACCTCTTACTACATATTTTCTTCTCTCCAACTTCTTCACCAATATTATTGATATCTACAGTTTATTTTAGGCCAATTGCCTTTGAATTTAGGATGACCAAAAAACTCTGCAATGATCATTTAATCCACTTATTTGTGGCTCTATCATTGCGCCTTCATCGACTTCATTGCATTATAATTGATGTGCATTTCATCAACTTTTCTTTTGATCCAGTTATATTAAACATCCACCTTCAAATTAATATAGAAATGTGTCACCAATAATGGGAAAGTAAATTCCTTCATTTTAGTGAGGTCTGGATTTCAACACAGTGAACATACAATCTAAGCTATAATTCTCAAAATGACTCAAATTAACCCCAGTAATTTGTTTATAAATAGTAACACTTCAGGAGTTGGAAAGCCTAATAAATTAATCAACAGTTCACTAATAGTTACAATTTGTCAACAAATGGCATCATGTAGCCAAGCAATCAGCTGACAAATAGCTTATATAGAATGATCATGAATTAGTAATGGCGCCCTCCTTAGAGGCGTGTGAGGTACTATGGCCTTGCTTCACAATGCCCGAGCACCTAAGCAAGAAATGTACTAGATTATACAACATTCAACCAATTGCAACGTTGGTATAGAGTACGTGATGGTAGATCACGAGGAAGGTGTTGGGTTGACTTTATCCCAGGACTAGTTTCAGATTTATATGGTTGGGCAGACAATAAAGGTAGGATTTGGAATTATAAAGTCTAGCGAAATTTTAGATTCGTAAATAAGCCAATGAAACGATAAGTTTTTTATATACTGGACGTACAAAACTACGAGCATTTTAACTGAAACTTCAGGAGCTGTTCGGATTTAATGTGGAATTATAATGGATTTAAGCTAATCCTAGCAAACAATCCATTTGGAACATTGAAGTGTCAGGATTTGATAAATCAAGATTTAAAGACTGATCATTTTACAAAAGAGAGCATATTACAAGAAGTTACACACTTGGTAAAATTAGTATTTACAAGCTAAAGCACAGCGGCACATAGAAATAAACGAATTACCTTCCGATTGCCCACTGTCAGATGCAACGGCAGCGGCGGTGGTGGCATTGTCCTCAGAAGTAACAGCTGGTGCTTTGGAAGCCTCCAACTCGATCGGTTTGGCGGCTTCCAGGGTTTTGTCGGTGAAGTCCACGTGCCCCGTCCTCTTCGTGTGCAGATCAGACTCCTTCAACAATCGAAACCCCAAAAAAAAATCACTAGATTAGAAACCAAAATCACCAGTTAGCCGACGCGGGCGGGGGCGAAAGGCAGAGAAAGTTCACACTGTTTTGGATCGGCAAGGCTTGCCGCAGGTGCTGCAGACGAGATTGAGCACGGCCTCGGTAGATTCGGAGAAATTGGCATGGGCGGTGAGATCCGCGTGTTCTTGAGCCTCCTCCACACTCCGAAAAAGTGTACCGCAATCGCCGCAGCGCAGCGAGAGACCCGCCATTGGCGAAGGAGCCGGACAGACGGCAAAAAACGAAAAAAGCGCCGAGTGATCTGATCTGGGTTGGTCTTAGGGTAAAGCGAAAAGTCCGAAGGCCCTGACTTATACGATATAGGTGATTTTTTATATATGAAAATCTGAAAAAAAAAAAAAACTTCAAATGATAATGAATTACAATGTGTTTTCATATGCCAAAATTGAAGAAAGAATCACTATAATATAAAATATATGATATTGATAATATTTATGATGTTACACGACAACAGGCAACTCTCCCCTATGTATAAAATCTATCATTTTGAGGCTCTTGAATTCATGGATATATTAGAGTTGATAAAAATAGTAAAATTATAAATTAAAAAAAATATTAGAGTTGATAAATTAAAATTATGTCTCCAAAAAATTCAGATGATTGACATGAATCATAATGTAATATTTGAATTATTATTTTTAGAATTAAATTCAAGATCATTTAAATTCCAATTTCAACAAACTTTAGTCAAATTGTGTCTCGATAAGACAAATCCAATAATACAAATAATGATTTGATATGAGTCCAAATAAACTCAAATCAAGCTCTTAAATCATATTGAAAAGTTTTTTTGACACTAATGGAAGAATTAAATCGTGTATGAATCGTGCATGCTTAGAGTTAAATTGAGCATCTCAACAAGACAAATCCAATAAGACCAATATAATTTAATTTTGAGTAGTTAAGGAACTCAAATAATGAATTAATGCTCTTTAGTCAAGTGGAATGAAATGGGCATTTGGTTGAGTATTTTTTTTTATTCCACACAAATTTATCAAAGTGGCCTTCTTAAAAAGATATAAATCAAACCTCATTTTCTTCATGAGGGGGTTTATGATGCAAAGAGACATGAAGAACTCTATTGCATTGCTCGACGATCGTTGATAATGGCACCATTAGTAACTATCGCCAGCATAGCTTGCCTTCCATTTTACAACTCTCATCGCCTACTTACTAACACGAGTCCCCATCATTTGACTTTTGTTGTCTAATCATAAACACTTGACCTCTATCATATTACTCTCGTCGTCTATATGGTACCCGCGCTCGGTGCCACTCAGTACTGCTCGATACCGAGCGCTTAACTGGACAGAAAAACCATCCGGTATCCGCACAGAATAATAGCTCCGAGTTGACATATCAGTTCATTTTTTGCACCCCTTTCACAGATCACAATAGCCAAAAGTAGCAGTGAATGAGGAAAGCATTTGAAAACAAATTCTCAAACCAGAGAAATGAAATACAATGAAACTAAAGTCCATTAACTCAGGCAAAAAAAAGGTCTTAAACCGATTTCATTAACCTCAATTTATAATACAATATTTCATTATTTGCATATAATCTAATAATAAAGGAAACCAAATGCAAAGTTATTGAAATAAAGCCAATACCCAAGCGATTATGCCAACAACCAATAATAAAATATATGTTTTGAATCTTCAAGAGATTATTTTTGGAAGACATTGACTTCTATGTCCAAAAATAAGGGTGATCAATATAAATCTCGAGATAATATTTGAATTAAAAATAAAAAATAATAATAAATTTATGATCATATGAACTGCAATTTTAATAAAGTTATTATCAAAATTAAATATTTCGATAAAATGAACCCAGCAACACAAAAGTGATCTAATTCAAGTTCAAATGAACCAAAATAAATATAAATAACTTAAAGTACATAATAAAATTTTAGGCCAATTTTAATGAACTAATAATCAAACTGAATGTCTTGATAAAATGAACCCATCAACACAGAACATGATCTAATTTGAGTACAATTGACTCTAATCAATTGCTTAAAACATATTATAAAACAATAGGATATTAATTGAAGAATCAAACAAGTCTGACATTATTCAATTATAAAGTCATTAAAACACTTAAAAATGTTGAATAAAGAATATATGATGAAACGATTCAACATGAGATATATAATGAAATATTTTTATTTTAGTTAGATTTATTAAAATACCTCTATTAAAGAGTTATAACCAAATTATGTCGTCATAGACACCCAACCACTCATCCACTTGAGAATGTGTAGAGCTGCTTAGCCATTATCAGAGATGAGAATGCTCACGTGGATAAGTGATTTCACTCTTAGAGACAGAATAAGAAATGAAAATTTGATAAAAAATTTATACAATTTTCTTATATTTAAATATGATATTAAAAAGCCTTATTTAATTTGTAAAGTTTAGACATAAATATATTAAAAAAGTTCATCCAAATTATGAAAGATGTAAGAAAAATCAAATTTACAAATAAAAATAAATGTTACAACGTTAGAGGATTACGTCTAAAAATAGTAAAATGTTACTTGTGACATTTCTTGCTTCGTACTTTAAAACTTGCGCCGTCTGTGGGAATCGAACCCACGACCACATGGTTAAAAGCCATGCGCTCTACCAGCTGAGCTAAGACGGCAACTTTAATGATTTGTAGAATATTTGTTAAATGAAATGTAATCTGGATCACTCTACCTAGGTCTCATAAACAAGTCATTTTAAGCCGCAAATGCCATTTTAAAAAAACTAAGAATATGACATTGATAAATTATACATTATTGGATCATACTTATGCATTTTCTGCTATTGTGTACATTTTTTATATTTTATTTAATTGAGACATATAATGAGTATTGTTGGAGTAGCTTCAGTGAAAAATTAGATTAGAGAAGCCGTCTTAAATGATTTGGTCACATAAAACGGCGGCCTTCCGATGGAGAAATTATTCTGTGTGGACGTCGAACCCAGCTCTACATCTTGAGACCGACTAGAATGAGCCAAGTCAGCATTACCGAGTGCGGTACGTTGTAGTGTCAAGTTGCGGTGCCGACGTGGCTCATTCTGGTTGGTATCTGGATGAGTTTGGCATCCGCACAGAATAATTTCTCATTCCGATGACCCGGTTAGGAAAGTAGATATATTAGATTTGACTTATGCTAAGAAAGATAGAGGTGGACATAAAAAGACTTGGTTAGAAAATATTAGAAATGACATTTCTTTATTAGATTTATATGAAATTTTGACTTTTAACAATACACAATGAAGAAAAAAAAGATTTATATAGCCGACCCCACATAGTGGGATAAAGGCTTGTTGTTGTTGTTTGTGAAATATACGATGAGTATTATTGCATGCCAGAGTCCTCGTAGCGGTAGAGAAGTAAATGTTTAACATCCTAGTTTTATATGAAGATCCAACACACACATAAATAAGAGAGAAATGTACAAGTTTCATAAAAAGACACCAAGATTTTTATGTAGAAAATTCTGAAAAAGAGAAAAACCACAGGGTTTGACCTAGTTAAAATGATTATACTAGTATTTATAGTCGATTTAAATGATGTCCTTCATCGAGGGAAGTGTAATAACTCAAATTCTTAATTATCAAGATATTGTTCCCTTTGGCCAAAATATTTCACAGTTTTGTCATGTTGGTGTAACCTCCTATTAGCTCATTAATTTTAGGATTTCTCTAGGATGAACATGCTTAACTATAAAATTTCAACTATTATATCAAAAAGCGCGTCGATGTTTAAGAGTTTAGCTTTTTTTTATTTAAAGGATTTCACAATCTCTTCCACTTAAGTTAACGAATATCCTTGTTAGCATCTTTATCCCATAATCATCCTTAAAAATATCTTTATCCAACAATCATATTATTACTATTCTGTCATGAGTACAAAATAAAAACTAAACAAAAAGAAATAGAACCTGAGAAATCCTGGTCAATCTCACACTCATGCTCCCTTGTCCTGACCTAAAAAGGAAAGTCCGCCAACCCACCATCATGTACATGTCAATCAGTCTTCAGCCAACATCAATAAATAACTAGTTTTTACTTATTTTTCACCCCATGCAAATTATTATCACAATACTATAATAGTAATATCAACCAATTATTACTCAATAATATATTCACATTAATTTCTGATGCATTATAGTAAATAAATATAACTAAGCTTATTTCAAAAAGTGTCGAAATATTCTAGTAGTAAGCAACCAAAAATTCTACTAAGAAAATTTTTATATTTTCATAAAGTGCATAGATCCTAAATAATATACATGTTTTTTGAGAAATGAATACAAATATATATATATATATATGTTTTGATTGATATTTTATTTATGCTGCTATTTTGATTGATAAAAAAAATTAGATAGCTCTGATTGTATAAATTAAAAGATAAAAAAACTTCCAAATTAGATTATGGCATCACTACCACCGCCATACCTCTATCAGTAGGGGTGTCAATTCGGGTCGACGGGTCGGGTTCGGGTCGAACCCGAGTTGACCCGGATCTAAACGGGTCAACACAAACCCGACCCATTTTTGCAAACAAGTTGGACATTTCAAACCGGACCAGACTCTGCCGAGTTGTCGAGTTGACCGACCCGACCCGCGTGGCAGAGAACGGAGCTCGCGACAGCGGAGTGCGGACGAAGTCCGCTGGACCGTGCATGTGGAAGGAGTCCGCTGGACCAAGCGACCGCACGAGTTTGAACTTCAGACGGAGTCCGGGTCAGGCAATCCGCGGGACTGCACCGTGCGTCCGGAACGGAGTCCTCGGGGGACCGAATGCGTAGCAGCCCGGCAGCGGGCGACGGCATGAGGCGCGAGCGCATGACCGTGCGAGCGCGATAATGACGAACCTGGATTTTTCGGATCATTATCGGGTTGATTTAAGGCTTTTGGGTCAACTCGAACCCGCCCCGTTTTTGAAACGGGTCGAAAATCTGAACCCGAACCCGAACCCTACTCGTTTGCTAAACGGATCAACACGAACCCGGATTTTTTCGGATCGGGTTCGGGTCGGGTTTCGGATCGGGTCAAAAGTTGACATCACTATCTATCAGGCCGGCGATCGCAGTCGAAGCACTACATGGCCACCAATTGGCGATAGACCTCCGCCTGACCGTCAACAAACCTCATCCCAATCGCCATCGGATCTCTGCACGGCCACCAACACCTGGTGGATATTCTTACAACCGTTGTTACTAGACTTCGGGCTTCCATCATCTGACTAAGGTCATTACATGCTCCTGAGTACCTATACAAAGTTCAACCAACTCTCCAAACTATTGTAAGTTCACTAAATCCAAGTTAAAAGATAAGCCAAGCTTTGTAACTCACTCTAGTATAGTGGAATCTTCTCACCTAGGCAAGACCCTATAGTTTTAACCGCCACTATATACACAAATTCAATTTTTAATATTTTACACAATTTTTTTAAAAGTAATGTTGGTTATCCATTACCATCACTACCACCACTAGTCTCCGCCACCGCCAACACACTAACGACCATCGTCGTCGGCCACCTCCAATCAACTATCTAAATAAATTGCTACTTTGCTTTGTATTTCCTTACTTCAAACTAAATAAAAAAAATTATAATCCTGATTTTTTAGTGTATTCAATTAAATAAATAAAAAAATATTTTTAATATACTATTTTTTATCAACCCAAAAAACTCCTTAGTGAATTCATTAGTTGATGATGAACACGACTGATTAATGAGGTGATGGCCTCAGCTCAGGTAGGTTAAGCCCATTTGTGGTGCCCTTATTTTTTTTCTCTTATTTGGAGTCAATGTACAATGAAAAGACCATATATTAGTCATTAGACTTAAGAACATAAATCCTCTCGCTCTTTCGTTTCGGCCACTCCACTAGGACTTTACCCTAGCTTTTCCTTCGCGGTTGCTGGAACACTCTCCGGTGGGTTGCTTTCATTGCTTATCCAGGGAAGTTTTCTTTTCTTTTCTGGTTCGCTTTTGATTTTTTGGTTGTTTCTTTTCCTTCCGGCGTGTGCCAGGATGACGTTGAAGCTTTGCGACCCTGATTTTTTAAGGGGTTCATCTTCTTCGCGTTCATTTTTGGATGTTCTTCTGGGTTCTTCTTCCGTTAATGAATTTCCTGAGCTTAGGGTATCATCTTTTTGTGGTTTGCCTTCCCTTTGGTCTGATCGGAAAATTCATGCTTTGGTCGTTCCTTTTCAATTCTCTTTGGTTGATTTTTTCTACCAAACCACCATCTCTTGATACCATTCATAGATTTTTTTTCAACCTCAAGCTAAATGGGATGGTTTCGGTAACCTTACTGGATCCGTCACATGTTCTCATCAAGCTTGCAAATGACATTAATTAATGTCAGGTTTTCTACCATATATTGTATTTGGTTTATAATTGCTACATTAAGCTTACCAAGTGGTCTCCCCTTATTGATGCCGGTCATCTCCATGTTATATATATATATATATATATATAAATCGATGATAAGCTGCCTTTAGTACAAGGCTATCAAATTTACCAACTTAGCATGACCTAAAATCATGAAGCAGCTGATATTAAACAGTACGTTTGATAAAAAGTCTAAGAAAAGAGCCAACTACAATACAAGAATCATGATAGTTCTCATATTTGCTGAAAGTTACAGACCATGCGTTAATTTATAGTAACGCCCAACAAGACCACCTAAAGGTTTAATAAAAAGAAGAACACTATCTTAAGTTTTTACTATAACTACCTAAAAACTCAAACATAAATAGTGGATGCCGACTAATTATTGTTAAGATCTTGAATTTGAATAAGCAGAATACACCTAACATTCTACTCTTTCAAGATGAAGACTTCTTGAATGAGTTGTTAGCATCTGATCTCCAAAAAGCTTCAAATCACCGAAAAAACTAACTTTTAAATAAATCAAAAGAATCTTGTAATGTGAGCTGCTGCAAAATTTCTGCTGTAAGAGCAGCACATCCAAAGATTGATGGTTAGAAGCTATATGATCCCCCCATCAACTCTTTTGGGGAGGCTTTCTTAATGCTGCTTAAAGCAGCTTTCTATTTTTGTATTAAAAAGTTGCTTTATGAAGCAGTAAGAAAGCCACATCCAACGAAGCCTCAGCTTGTTCAAATAATAACAAGAGCACAGTTTGAACTGCAAGCATCTGATAAAATGAAACTAGAGGGCTGAAAGTTTAACCATTTTTGAGATAGTAGTTCCAGATAACGGCTAGTAAGCCTACTAGCATGACTTTAGTTAGTAGTTTAGGCCCCAGTATGGAAGAAGATGCTGATAATGATGGAGAAGATTCTGGTGCTTTCCCTTTTATCTTTAGCTTTGAAGACAACTTGGACAGGAGCAGGGGAATCAGCCCAGGTTTCTCGGAAGCTGCAAGAAAGATGGGAGGAGACGGATTCCAATCAAATTTGTAATAAGCACAAGAAAAACTCAAGTTTAATTCTATCTCAGTGCAGAAAATTTACGACTCAAGATATTAGTTATCATCTACAACCATCAAACGTTCATACGTAGCTTGCTTATATTTGTATATACTCCATATTACATTGTCAGGAGAATTAATCAAAAGTAAATCAAAGTTGAGCTTGATACACCTGCAATCAAATCCATTTATATATGTATGGGAGGCCAACCACTTGGTATTTTTCCATTAGCATATTTTCAACAATCATATGTAAGACAAACCTAATACTCTCACATACCATCACAAAACCCCTTGTGTGAGAGCTCTGCATACCAATCATCCACTAAAAAAAATTTGAGGATTCATAAATCATAAATCATCAATTAATTTAAGGACTTGCTTTCTTTGAATGTGAACAAGTGGTAATATATTTTAGAACCGATTCATAATGAAATGATCAAAATAACCCAATAATTTCAGCAAAATTTTAGAAAAAAATAGAGAATCTTTGAAATTCCAATGTGTTGCTTTTTGATAAAAAAATCTTTACAACAACAACATCAAGCATTTATCCCACTACGTGGGGTCGGCTACACATTAATCTTTTTTTTCCATTGTGTCCGGTTAAGAGCCGAATTCTCATTTTGATAAAAAATCTATAGCACTAAACAATTCAATAATAATATAGATAAAACTGAACACGAAACAAAAATATCAGAGATTTAGAATTATATATATATATATATATATACATCATGCAAGTATTCCTTATCTTTTTCAACACAATTTTTATCTCTTCTATATAACCTCAAACTTAGCTTCCCTCAACTCCAAAACACATTCAACATCTACAAAAACTCTCTAAAAAATTCCCCACATTTCTCATAACTTCCAAAACCTCAACTCCCCAATATCCCTAAGACACCCAAGCCAAAAGCCCTATATAGGAAAAAAAAAATTACTATGCGCAACAAGATTAAAAACATCACAACTCTTAACAACTTATCCAAAATCCATAAAAATATCACCAATAGTTCTCCAACATCTCAAACATTTGATATAAAATTCCTCCTACTTTTCCTCCAAGAAAAAATTGCCCTTTGATAGCCGAGAAGTTTAATGATCAAATATGTCCAAAAGTTAAATACTCATTTCACCATAAGCCAAATAATCTTTCCATAATCACCCTAAGGGCTAAGGGGATACTAGTCAAGTTGTTGCATTCATCATAAAGATCATATAGACTCTACATTAGAATATACAACAAATTTTTCATTTTATTAGAAACGCTAAGTGGGACAAAGGCTTCTTGTTGTTATTGTTGTTGTAGTAGTAGTAGTATTAGAAGCACTAGATTCTTATTCAAATTCATACTACCCTTGGGCTTTGTAGGTTTCAAAACCACCCTTATCCTATAAGTCATAAAATTATAAATACTACATCTCTCAAAATGCACAACATTTGAATCATATAACGAAGCCTATTCAAAATAGCATGAGCCATGCCCGTGGGTAGCACGTCACAACAAAAACAACAACAACAAGCCTTTATTCCACTATGTGGGGTCATCTATCTGAATCCTTTTTTTTTTCATTGTGCCCTATTAAAATTCAAATTCTCATTTAAATTTAATAAAAAAATTATTTTTCATACTTTATAACCAAATCTTTTTAAGTCTACATCTAGTTTTCTTAACATAGGTTGGTTCTAATACTTCTACTCTCCAAACAAGGTCATTAGAAGGCCAATACTTTACGTGACCAAACCATCTAAGGCGACTCTTTCTAATCTTCTTTGCCACTAAAGCTACTCCAACTTTTTTACGTATATACTCGTTACATATTTTGTCTTTAAGTATAAAGCCACTCATCCTCTTGAGCATCCAAATCTTTGCAATAGTTAGCTTAATTTTATGCTTCTTTTTTAATGGCCAACATTCCGTGCTATAAAATTTTGTCTCACCAATATGTTATAAAAATTTCTCTTAAGTTTGAGGGGTACTTTTCTATCACACAACAAACCGGATGCATTCCTCCACTTTAACCGTCCAACTTAAATTCTACTTAATAATATCCCCATCTATTTCACCATTATTTTGAACAACAAAATCCAAGATATCTAAAATGTGCACTCATTTTAATGACTTGATCACTCAAAGTCACAATTCCACCACTAGATCTATTACTACTAAAATTATACTCAATGTCATTGGTTTTAGATTTACTCAAACAAAAACTTTAAACTCTAAAGTTGACCTTCATTATTTATGCTTAGCAAATCATACTAGATTTTATCAAAACAAGTGGTCAATTGAATCGAAAATCGACACCTTTAAGACAAGATAATAATTTTTTATATCCAAGATGCATTCTATGATTGTGGATGTGGTTCATATTTCAAATATAAGCAAATTAAGGTAGAATTTGATGCATCATTTATAAAAACCCTTCCCCCAAGCAAAGGAAATTGAGAATTCGCATAACATAGGTGATGCGGACATCCAACGGTGGGCATTAATCAAAGGAAGAGATCAAGATCGACGGCCGAGATCCCTTCATTTTATCTTATTTTATTAATTGTAATTTTTATTTAATTATGCATTTTTCTTTTTTACCCTTAAGGGATTTTTTTTATGTAAGCCCAAGGGGCAAAATTGTCTTTTAGTTTCTTTTAAGGCCTATATATAGAGGCCTTTACTCTTGTATTAGAACATGATGGATTATTAAAAAAAAAAAATTAGAGCCTTTGTCTTGATCTCTGTGTGAGTTCTGGAGAGGAAAAGTCCTATGGGAGGACAATTTTGTTTCCACCAACAGCGGGATGGATCCGGGCTCGTGGATTGAAGTCCCTCGGGGAGGGCAACGTAGTACCCACCAGCCGCAGAAAGAGTCTGGGCTCGTGGTTTGTATGGTTTTTATTTTTATTTTTATTTTTTTTATCCGTCCTCTCATCTATAATCTCCATCATTCACCCTCCGTTTTTATTTTATTTCGTTTGATTTTGGTTAACTTTTCTTTTGGATCAAACATCAATCCCTCCATCTCCATAGTTGGCCGATCACGTCACCCATAGCCTCTTCCCTCCACAAATTTTGAATTTTGAATTCAAAATAGCCTCTTGATTACCTTCCTAAATTAGATTTTGTTAATTTGGAAAATCATTCAATTTTGAATTCAAATAAATTTGAATTTCAAAACATTTCCAATTTAATAAATTCTAAATTAGGGAGCCTCCTCAAATTACTCTCAATCTGAAATTAATTTCAGATTTAATTCGCCTCATACCATTTAATGCTTGATCCACATACGTTGTATGTGGACACTTCTCCTCTCTCTCCATAAGGCCGGCCCCTTCTCTCACCTACTCTCTAATTAATGCCTCTCCATTAAGGCCCTCAATCAACTCCAATCACCCCTAGTAACCGCCGATCCCCATCCCTCATCAAATCCTAATTAATCCCTTCCTAATTAAGGTGATTTGAAATTCAAATTTTCCCTCCACTTCCTCTTTTTTTTTTTTGAAGTCCGAAATTAAATTCATATTTTAATTATTCAAATGACCCCTCCCCCCATATCCGTTCTACATCAGTTTGGTATCAGAGCATGGTTACCCAGGGTGCGGACTCGACAGAGTCGAGCTCTTTTCCACCCCGGGAGAATGATGCGGACATCCGACGATGGGCATTAATCAAAGGAAGAGACCAAGATCGACGGCCGAGATCCCTTCATTTTATCTTACTTTATTAATTGTAATTTTTATTTAATTATGCATTTTACTTTTTTACCCTTAAGGGATTTTTTTTTATGTAAGCCTAAGGGGCAAAATTGTCTTTTAATTTCTTTTAAGGCCTATATATAGAGGCCTTTGCTCTTGTATTAGAACATGATGGATTATTAAAAAAAAAAAGAATTAGAGCCTGTCTTGATTTCTGTGTGAGTTCTGGAGAGGAAAAGTCCTATGGGAGGACAATCTTGTTTCCACCAGCCGCGGGATGGATCCGGGCTCGTGGATTGAAGTCCCTCGGGGAGGGCAACGTAGTACCCACCAGCCGCAGGAAGAGTCCGGGTTCGTGGTTTGTATCATTTTATTTTTATTTTTATTTTTATTTTTTTTTATCCGTCCTCTCATCTATAGTCTCCATCATTCACCATCAGTTTTTATTTTATTTCGTTTGATTTTGGTTAACTTTTCTTTTGGATCAAACATCAACCCCTCCATCTCCATAGTTGGCCGACCACCTCACCCGTAGCCTATTCCCTCCTCCACAAATTTTGAATTTTGAATTCAAAATAGCCTCTTGATTACCTTCATAAATAAGATTTTTTTAATTTGGAAAATCATTCAATTTTGAATTCAAATAAATTTGAATTTCAAAACATTTCCAATTTAATAAATTCTACATTAGAGAGCCTCCTCAAATTACTCTCAATCTGAAATTAATTTCAGATTTAATTCGCCCCATACCATTTAATGTTTGATCCACATATGTTGTATGTGGACACTTCTCCTCCCTCTCCATAAGGCCGGCCCCTTCTCTCACCTCCTCTCTAATTAATGCCTCTCCATTAAAGCCCTCAATCAACTCCAATTACCCCTAGTAACCGTCGATCCCCATCCTTCATCAAATCCTAATTAATCCCTTCCCAATTAAGATAATTTGAAATTCAAATTTTCCCTCCACTTCCCCTTGTTTTTGTAGTCTAAAATTAAATTCATATTTTAATTATTCAAATGACCCCTTCCCCCGTATCCGTTCTACATCAATAGGTCACTAATTAATTCAAAGACTTACAATGTATCACAAGTCACTAAATAATTCAAAGACTTACAATGTAGGTTATAGGATTTCTGGATATCTAGTATAAGATCTCCACATAATCCTACTATATCAAGTCAGTATTAAGAGCATGGGTTGCATTTTATGGTCTCTCAACATGAAAATCCATATCAAGTTTATCTGATTGATGGACAATGTAATGATAGCTTGCTTGTCCATCATAAAATATTGAATTTACCACAAGCCTAATAAACTCACATGAATTACAAACTCATTTATTGTGAAGGCCTCGCTGATCCTTTAGACACTGCATTATCAGAGGATTCACGACTTCCGTGCATTTTCTAAATACAAGCAAAAGCTAACATACTATTGTTCCTAAAGGAAAACGTGAAAAGCATGGCGATACCTAGAAGAGACTAAAATTGGATGCAGGTGTAGATCACAAGATCATAACACCACCTAGAATTCCTGCAGGAATGAATCATCGAGTTAAAGCCTCTCGTTCATGGAAATCATTGCCCTCCGACATCAATAGAGTATCCTCTTTGTAAGGAGGCAATCTTACATGAATCTAATCACAAGTTATTTTGTGTCCAATAACCGCTTTCAAAATTGTGAGGTTCCACTTATGCGCCAAGAGCATGATTCGAAGATGAGATAACTTACAAAGTAAATACAGGGCACCTTCATTTGATGGTAGGCTCAAACTGAAAATCTTTCCAGATTGACTGAAGGACATGGGACACTTGTTTGAGTGCACAGAAATTTCTAATGGACGTAAGGTCAAGTTTGCTAAAACAAGATAATAGACTAAAATCCACAATTTCTCTTAAATAAGATAACTCATCACCACCATTCTTTTTAACTTGTCCCAACCATCTTTATTAATCTTGTCCCAACAATTCACGGCCAATTTATGAATTCTGGTTTTCCAATCGTTCGTATAATCCTTGTTTTTTAATAATAATATCAGTTGTTGCATGAGATGTTAAACACACTCTATGCTAAAGTTTTTTTTGAACAACTATATCTCTATTTTCTTCATAATTTTTCAACACTAATTTTATCAATCATTTAACCAATGTTGGCCTTTAAAAGAGAAGCATAATACTAAGTTAAGTGTGGCAGAGATGAGGATGCTCAGGTGGATGAGTGGCTTTACCCATAGAGATAGGATACGAAATGAGCATATACGTGAAAAGGTTGGAGTAGCTCCAGTAGAAGATAAGATTAGAGAAAGTCGCCTTAGATGGTTTGGTCACATAAAACGGCGGCCTTGTGATGACCCGGTTAGGAGAGTAGAGGTATTAGATTTGACTTATGTTAAGAAAGGTAGGGGTAGACCTAAAAAGACTTGGTTAGAAAATATTAGGAATGACCTTTCTTTATTAGATTTAAACGAGAATTTGACTTTTAATAGGACACAATGGAGAAAAAGGATTCATGTAGCCGACCCCACGTAGTGGGAAAAAGGCTTGATGTTGTTGTTGTTGTTGTATTTAACCAATGTATTTTTTATTTTTAATTGTACATATTCAAGCATCTAATATATTTTCACCATTTTATATTCAATAGATGTTAACTCCAACAATCTATTAAATATAACCATTCCTTGATTTATTACTCCTAATTTTGTCAAACGTCCATTTCCACCAAGTTCAACTTAATTATCAACGAATTTTTATACACAATAATACAACATGGAAAGTAAAATTAGTGCGGAAAAGAGAATAAACGAAACATGGATGAAGCTGCTCAAAAATATTTGCAAGAAATAAACAAATAAGTGATGAAGAAGTCCTTCATGATAAAAATCTAACCACAACCAATAGAAGAATACTATTTGAAAGATTGCTAGGGTGACTAACTTGAATATATGGTGGAATTTAGGTAAGTAACAACAAAATGACTAATGACAAAATAGCAACCAACATTGCTTGAGTTAAGGATATTAATCTTCATGACAATAGTCAACGTGTGCATTTCATGTTCGAATTTGTCAAATTACCTACGTTATCAAGCTTAACCGTTCAAGGGATGTATTTCATTATACGAAATTATTATATCCAGCATTTCCGAAGGACTATCTGGAAATATTTTCTAACTACTTTTAATCTTTTTTTTTTCCTCAATTATTTTATTACTTTGCAATGCAGAACTGTAAACTGTAGCTCAGATCTGCCAGAGACATGTTTTGAAATCAAGAAATTTTCAGGTAGCTAGCTTAACAATTAATACCATCACATCACATGACCCGAAACAAAGGTGTTGGAACCCAAGCATTTGTTTATTTTTGAGGGGTTCCGCATATTTACAGCCGCATCAACTAGTTTGGTTCAGTTTGAATCCTTTATTGATAACTAAAACTCTGTCACATGCTCTTATACACAGGATCACACATTACAATATAGTGCTCTTGATCTACAAGTTGACTTCAATCCATTGCGTGGATGAATCCAAACAAAACACTTTAATCAAAATTTAAGCTAAGCTGGTACACAATAATGTATGATTGCTCTTTAACTCACATTTTAATGCAGCATTGCTAATTACTTCATAATGTAAACCAATAAGTTTAACTTCAATAACAAGTAATAAGATCTTAGCAGCTTTGAAGTATTCAAAATGTTATTCCAACTGTTTGAATAACGCTAATGGTGATGCCTCTAACAGTCACTTCTCTAAGGAGCATCAAGTTAATAATTTCCATCTTACTTGGTAAAATTAGAACTATAGCTGGTCGCAGCTTACCCATGCTAGATACTACATTTATACACATCAACAAATATGGTCTTAGTTCATAGCATTAAACTCATTAGTCCTTTGATGAATATGTGGAATCTAGTATCTAACTATCTAAGAAGGAAAATATGGACTCCAGTTACGTAAACAGCTTCAATTATGTACCACTGTACAAGATCAGATATGCACAAATGTAAGTAAGACAACAATAACTGCAGGCACGATATCTAGATTGTGCATACAATCAGCCAAGCTATTTAGGCGTACATATTATATGATATTAACAAGTTGTTCATAGGCAGTAGCAGTTTAGTTTTTCATACGAATATAATACAAAACATTAGCAAGCAAATTTCTACCAAAGGGGAAAATATGTTGCAAGAATAATTGGAATATGCATGGTCAAAGCTTCCAGAGTTGAGATTATAGTCTAGAATATTTTTTCTCCATAACAAGATGTAACAAATGAAGATATTTTCTCTTTAAAATAATAGGAAAAAGATTCAACAACAGAGCAATTTTCAAAATAAAAATATACCTTTACTTCTTTCTAATCTCTCTTCTTCACCAGCCCTTCTTCTCAAGACATTGAGCATTGATCCAAAATATAATGCTAAAACAGTGCATGTAAATGTGATGACATTATAAGGCATGCTAAAATCGGGAGTTGTTAAGGGAACAAGCAATACTTCCGTATATGTTTGGACAGGATTTTCCTCCTGCAAAATATAAGAAAACAGTAATTAAATAACTAACATTTGTAAAAGTAGATCAATTGATAAGGCCTTTGCCTTCCAAAGTGAAGACAAGGGTTCAAATACTCAATAAAAAAGAAAAAGGAAAAAAAAAAAAAACTTTCTCAACATATCTTAAGTGTAAGGGTGGCCTTTTTAATAAAAATTGCATAAAATAAAATTAAAATTAACTCAATAATATAATAAAACCATAAGATAGCACAAGTTCATGATACCTGAAACTTAGATAGCAGAGTGGACATGTAATGTATCGAGTCGTCTAACTGGTAACTTCTGCTACAATTGAAGTCAGGAAAAGTGACTAAAGCGGATGGAATGTCAAAGCCCTGATTGGCATCAGGAGGATATTCATCTATGTGTAAGAATCCCTACAATTTTAATGCATGTAGAAACTTTTAGGCAAATGAATTAAAGGTTGTATCTGGTTAAACTTTCAAACTGAGGATTAAAATATAAACTTAAACAGTACGTAATGTCTATAGAAAATTTTCATATAAGCTAGATAGAAAGTTACTGCTCTAGAGGGCACGCAAAAGGACAAATGACTTGCATGTATAGCTTCCAACTACAGACTAGAAAGTTGAAAAAAAAATTGTGCATGTTTGTGTGTTGGGAAGCTCACAGCATCTGAATGATGAACCAAATAATACAACAACAACAACAACATCAAGCCTTTATCCCACTACGTGGGGTCGGCTACATGAATCCTTTTTCTCCATTTTGAGAAAATCACTAAAACCAATGGTTTATCAGTGAATACCGACTAAAGTGTGACATGTTTTACAATATTAAAATTTTTCTGGTAGTATAGTGAAAATTACCGTAAGTGATGTTATTGATCTACAAATGTTCCCCTCAATGGTTGATATTTCTTCAAGTAGTTCAATGTAATGATGCAAAAATGAATGATTGTCATTGGTTATCTTGGTGAATAACTACTTAATTACAGGGCTCTAGAAAAAATTGTCAATTTCTATGAAAAATTGGTACATAAAGATTAAAACAGAAAATATAACTTGCCTTGTCAAAATCTAAAGTCAGTGCAGCTGATTGTATATTACAAGGAAATCTAAGCAGCAACTCCATAGACCCAGGTGATAACTTGTCTTCAGAAGGAGAGATTTTCATCTTTCTCACCACATCTGAGATGATCTGAGTCTTTCCATCTACAAAAATGTGCAGCGTGTGATAATAAACTTTAACATACCAAGGAACAACCTGGAAAATGACAGCATGCACCGCACAACCATCTGAAGCTTTAGAAAACTGTTCATGCAGATGTGTAGATCGTAAAGAGATAGCAATAGAGCCTCTTTCATTTCCACTTCCCATTAGATAACGGTTCATATGGAAAGGTGCACGAGGGCAAGACCAAACCAATGGAATTTTCCAACGGATGCCTACATCCAAAGGAATATGGTCATTTGAGTTGCTGACTTCAAATACATAGAGAACAGAACTTCCCAGATTTTTCACTGCATTTAGCTCTCTGATATTACTGTTCGGTATCCCGGACAATTCAAAGGCTGAATTATTCCAAGAAGACAAAGGTTGTAGCTTATCTACTTTAAAAGCTAAATCCTTCTCCAGTTCAAAAAAAATTCTGCTAGTTTTTGCAAGAACGCATTGCCCCACCACCTCCTTCCCAAATAATGAGTTAATGGACCAACTTGGTTGAAGAAATCCATAACCCGAAGAAGCTGGACTATTACTTCTCATACTTGGTTGAAGGACAACAGTCAGAGCCTGTTCAAGAATTATACCAGTAAACTCAGAAGATATCAGCCTTAGCCTTTGGGAGTGGTAGTGACTCCTGTAAATAGAAGGTCTGTTCAATAATAAAGCTATCCCTGTCTTATCACGGCATGGAAGAAGTTTTAACCAAGGAGTGAGATTCTCAGTACAAACTGCTTCTCGTGGTAATGCCCCATATCGTAGTTTGCTTGAATTTGAATGGAAACCCCAACTTGGAGCAGAATAAGCAGTGGAGGACTCTAGGAAATTGATGGAAGCGCAGAAAAGTCCCGAAAGAGCATGGGTAAGATTCTTCCAAGTATGATCAATTTCATTTAGAGGGAGATCAAAGGCTGCCCAAAGCTCAACACCAGGGGGCTTGGCATTGGAAGCTGACATTGGATCAAATCCACCCCATCTCTCATAGTTCCAACGTCCTTGTGTGAAAGACAACTCCAGCTCCCTTATTTGAAACTTGCGTGCCTGTTCAAGCATCATAAATTTTATTGCATGCCGACCAAAAAAGAGGAACAGAAAGGATGTTGAGAAAAAGCAATTTCTCATTTATTCTTACGTGTTCTTTAACAGATACAATTCTCTATCGGTTAACCTGAACTCCAATCAGCAAAGTTGGCATGACTAGTTTGCGAAGCATTTTTTCAGCAAAACAGCTAAAGAACATAATCTAATTGTTGCAGAGTAGCAACATACTTGGAGCCAAAATAGCTAAATAAACTTCTATTATGTTAGAAAACTTACGATAAAAGAAACATGCATGGAAACCTGCTTAAGATCTTCAAAAGGTAGTACTAGACTAGATTTTTAATCACTCGTTGATCGTACTATTAGTTTCTCTGCAGTTTAACGGTGACATTATGATACTGAAAAGAACATGTCTTGCTGCATGACTGGGCCTTCAGCTCCGCGACATATATACAAAACATTTTCAAGATCCAAGTAAAAAAACAAACACTTCAACCAAATCAAGCATGCGAATTCACGAGCGATTTTTTTATTCTGTTATTAAAATTTTGTCACATTCAAGATAAAATGAAACATAGTCACGCAAACAACAAGTTCCTCATTTTTTTTTTCTTTTTAGACAATTATGTCCAAGTTCCATCTGAACTACACAACCATAATCAACTAGCCAAAAAAGTCATGCAATTAAACGCTCTCTAGGGAGAAAATCCCAATTTATATCCTCACGAAATAATAAATCAATCTGCAAAAGAAGAATAAGAAACCGATAAGAAGCCGAACCAGCTGTGCGATGGCCTTGGGGAAGAGGCGGTGATGGCGTCCGTTGGCGACGGAAGGAGGGGCTGAGCTCTGGAAGTGGAAATGGGCAAGCACTTTTCGATCGGGCAACGGTTTCAGAAGAAGCTCCTCAGTGAACTCCTCCTCCAGTCCCTCGCCGCCTTCGACCAAAGCTAGGGCTGGACGGAGAACAGAATTGAAAAAGAAGATAATGAGAAGGAAAACGGTGGAATTAAATTGCCGGCGGAGCTTCGCCATCGCCGCAGAGGATTCGTCGAAGATTAGGATTGCTCGTTGCCTCACCAGCTACGATGACTGGACGTGCCTATCGGCGACGAAAACCCACCTGGATTGCTTCATCAGTGGCGTCTCTGATCAGTCATAGAGTCTTGTAAGTGATCCATGGAATGCAGTACAGGGCGCGCAAGGCCCATTATAATAGAAAATTAGTAGGCGACTCTAATGGTGGGGGATCTAATTCATATTAAATAAATTTAAAAAAAAAAACAGATAGTGATTTATAATTCATAAAAATTTTACTTTATATATATATTTAAAAAAATTAGATCAATTAAGATAAATTCATACTCATATTATATACACGTAAATTTCAAACTCAAAATCTCTTAATTAATGATCAAAACTCCCAACTAATAAATCAAAATGAGCTTCTAACCAAAAATTTACTTTACATGTTATTCAAACTAAAAAGAAAAATTACTAAAATTATTGCAGTAAGAAAATTTTATTCTAATTTTTCATCAATCAAACAACTGCTTAATCCTTTTAAATGTGAGATTTTAAAAAGAATGGATTAAAATATTAAAAAGTTATTATTGTGTCTTGAAAAATTCGTGATGGTAGAGATAGAGAATTTAACTTCTTAATTTTATATGAACATCCATCACGCAGACAAATAAAAGAGAAAGGTGCAATGTTCAAAATAGACACCATAATTTTTACGTGAAAATTCTTGAAAAGGGGAAAAGCCACAATGTCTAGCCCGGTTGTAATGATTCCACTAATGTTGGTGGTTCGTTGCAGATAATGCCCTTCTTTGGAGGAGGGTGTTTGCTTAATAAAATAAATACACATTGTATAGAGTACATTGCATATTTGGAGAATCGCATGATAGTTGTTCTCAAAAGAGTGTTATCTTGCTCGTTTGGTTTGTAGTGTCGTAGTCGGATGATGATTGTTAAAATGACTGTAGTCGACAGGCAATGGAGGTTGGAAGGACAATAATCACAGGTTGGAAAGACAATAGTCAGAGGTTGGAAGGACAGTGATTGAAGGGACAAAAGTTGGCTGGTGATGGAGGTCAGAAGTACCGTAGTTAGGTAACGGTGGTCAGAATGATTGAACTCGGGCAATAGAGGTTGAAAGGACTATAGTTAGGTGACGATAGTAGGATGGATCGTAGTCGGGCAACGGTGGTCGGAGGAATCTTAGTCAATGGATGATGAGGGTCGGAAGGACCGTAGTTAGGAGATTGTGGTCCGAGGGATAGTAGTTGGCGAGTGACGGAGGTCGAAAGTGCTATAATAGGGCTACAATGGAAGGTGTAGTCATGTGACTGTGGTCAGAGAAAATGTAGTTGGCAGGCAACGATAATTGGAAAGATTGTAATGGACTGATGATGGTGGTTAAAGTAGCCGTAGTTGGCAGGCGACAATGGTTGGAAGTACTGTAATTGGCATACGATGGAGGTCGGAGGGATTATAGTCGACTGTTGACAGTGGTCGAACGGACCATAGTTGACATGTGATAATGGTAAGAGAGACATTAATCACTGGGTGACGGTGGTTAAATGAACTGTAGTCGGGGAAAGACGATGGTAAGGAGGAGGCGCGACAATGGCTGTCAGATGGAGGTCCTACAGTAGTGGTCTGGTAGAGGTTCAGCAGCGACGAACTTGTGGCACAAATTCATTAGCGATGGTGCCGGGATGAAGCTCCACAATTTTTTGGAAGTGACGTGCCTAATAAATATGGATAATATCTATGGCAAATTTGGAGTGTTCCATTGGATGGTTGGAAATGATCCCATCGACCATGGAGTGTTCTTCCAACATTTATATGTCATAATGATGTCACAATTAGGCGATCTTAGGCTCGTTGGATTCATCTCGTTGACCCACTCGATTTGATTATAAGCATGTCATATACTGATATCATTTGGTCATCCAATTGATGCTCTGAAGCTTCCAAGTACATTTTAATCCTTTGATTTGGGCTCTTTTGGGCTCGGATGCAATTGAAGTTGGTTATTGGACTCATCTCTCTAAGATGTTCAATTCGACTATAAGTTTGGTGATATTGAAGTTTGGATTGTTCCATATTTAATTTTTGAATTCCAACTCATATTTGAATCTATATTTTTGTCTGACCAAGTTGATTTTTTTATTTATCAAAATAATAGAGTTAAAACCCCATAAAAAACATTTAGTGGCATTAAGCTAAATCTTTTTAAAATAGAATACCAAATAAACCCTTAATGTACAGTTTAGATAACTTTAATAATTAGTCAATAGTTAGCGTTAACTAAAAATAGAGATTTTATTTAGAATAATAAATGCATTTAAAATAAGAAATTACTAATTACTTATAAATTAATTTAAAAACAATAAATTAATTATTTTGATATTATTTTATTGATTAGAAAAGTAGCTAAGCTAATTAATATGAATTGAAATAATTATTATGAATTAATTAATACTAAGATATTTATTCAGAATAGAATGAAAATAATTTAGTTCATTATTTATTGACTAATAGTTAGTGTTAAAATAAAATAATAGACTCTTAATGCATCAATTTTGATTATTTATAATATAATAAACACCACGTTTAAGCATCCTATCAAAAAAAAAAAAAAATTATTTTATCTCAAATTCATTTAAACACTTAAAAGGCTTAAAGCTGAGAAATAAGATAGATAATTTGTAAAAAAAAAGGGGGCTAGAAGTAATATCATGCCGAACACTTTTTAAATTTAATATCAAGAAGAATTAATCAATATAAAATTTATAAATTTATTAAATTCCATTTCAATTAAATCCCTCTGAAATAGAGTTTATCATGTTATTAATCTTGATATTTTATTATCTAACATCTAGAATACAAGATAGTCATTAGTAATTGTCATTTGCTCAAAGGAATTTGTTCATTTGTATTATAAACATATTGATCAAAACAATAATAATTAAGTCACTTACCTTAAGGGCTTATCTTATTGTTCATGGACAAAATATTTTTTTTGTAAGATCTTTTTTTTTTTGTGCTTATTTTATGTATGAAAATATAATTTTTTAATAAGTTCTACAGTTATTAATTATTATGTCCAAGATTTGCAACTTGAAATTTGCTTAATAATTACTGTATTTTTTTACTCCAACTTGAAGATGATGCTGACCTTTCTTTTAGCTTTGTTATTTTTCTTGACTTGGATTAGAGTCATTGGCTCCTTGGCTCTCCATTTGTGGAGAGATTATTCCGTGCCATATCCGAACCATTTAAAGACGAATCTGGACACACCACATCACCCGAATGCACTGGGCCCCGGGTGACGTGATGTGACCCATTCAGATTCGCCTCCGAACGAATCCGGATGCCGGACATAATAATTTTTCCCATTTGTGGTTGACCAAATTCATTCTTGTGTTGTTAGGAGTCCTTTGAGATTGTTTCATATATCAACAACCTAGTTGCCCACTTGTCCTAGCATCCAGAAGAGTAGAAGAGCACCTTAGGGCCATACTTACCCAAGCCAAGCACTAGTAGGCATACTTAGGAAACCATTATGTGACTTGGCACTTAGTGACCAATGCAGTACACCACATAATTCTTAATCAACCCTAAGCCGACCTCGATCCAACCCAATTCTAGTCACTCCTCTGAGCCATTCAACTTTAGGCTTTGTTTGGGATCAACTTTTTTCCTGCTTTCTCATGCAATTTTTTAGTAGGAAAAAAAACTAAAGCTTTATATGTAACATTTTCCTTCATTGAGGTTGTCATGCCTTCAATGCCACATGAGGAATTATTGCAAAAGTTTAAATATCTCCATATTCCATTTGAACTTTGTTTTGTTTGATATGCATGGTGAATTTTGAATATTATAATTTTGTTTGAGACAGCTTTCTTATTGTTTTTTAAAGCAACTTTTTAGTAAAAAAAAATTTAATTCAAAATTTTTTTCTCCTAATGAGGAACTGCACTTTTCCCTTGGTATCGAGGTTCATTAATACAGGTCTATATGTTTATATGTTACCTATGAAAAAGCACTTAATCACTACTTCTTAGGCTTTGTTTGGGTCAGCTTTCTCATTGCTTCTTAAAGTATCTTTTTAATAAAAAATTAAAATTTTATACTAAAAAACTGTTTTAAGAAGCAGTAAGAACAATGTCCCAAACAAAACCTTAATTCCCACATTATTCATAGCATTCACACAATGCAACAATCATATTCATTGTGTAATGCAATAAAAATTACAATAAGAAATAAAATAGCGTTTACAGTAGACACCTCTATGGCTCTATATACTGTAGTACAATAATATTCACAACAAGCAATATGATATTATTCAAATAACACAATATAATAATGATCATAAATTCATAGTAGACAACAACAAAACGAAGTAGCATGTATGGTAGACATGTCACATAATATTATGGAATAGATGAACATATAAACATATAACAGTATAAGTTACCTGCATGCATCTTACATCATGCCATTGTAATTTCATTATCATGATAAGTACCATTCATGCAATGATCCATTCATTCATACTCTTTTGTCCACAGATGCCACAAATAGGAGAAGTTATTCTGTGCAGACACCGGACGCAGCTCTATATCCGGATGCCGCAGTACCCAGCAGTACCGAGCCGCAGTACAATGAAAGGGTGACGAGGTGCATTTTGATTAATCTCCAAATGGCGTTCGATGTCCGCGCAGAATAATTTTTTTCACAAATAGAGATGAAATAACTTGCTAGTCAAATGACACAACAACAGATGACAAGATAACCTGTAGTTGTTGTAAGGTACCATGTACAATTACAATATGTGAAAAATCAGGCAGTAGTAACAAGCATGATGATAGTGCATGCAATGGTGGGAAACTAAAATAAAAATAACATAGAATAATAAATAATAATGTATAAGAACATACAATATTAGGCAGCCTGATTGTTTAATAGATCATGGAATCAATTACAAGAACAAGAAATCATAGATAATATTGACAGAAAATGATGCCAATCATAGAAACATATGCAATAATGCAAAAGAACACACGAGGCAACTTATAGTACATGTGAGAACACTTGCAAATCAAAATGCCTTTGATTTCAACAGGATGTAGGTCGTGCATTTTATGTAATGTGTAAGCATCACCTATAGTAAATCACTCTTAATCC